GCAGGGGGACCTCTGGACGTCTGGCAGGTGCAGTGTCAGACTGAGCGCCGGGTAGTCACGTGACACTCGGTCAGGGCCGGTGCAAGGATTTTTGCCGACCTAGGCAAAAGTAAAGTTTGCCGCCCCCCCACGTGACATCACAATGCCCCACCCATATGATCTGCCATGTTAACTAACGCCAGTGCTGGAGTGCCGCCGTGTTTACATTAAAAGGCCTGCAGGGACAGGCTATAGACACCAGAACCACTACATTAAGCTGCAGTGGTTCTGGGGACTATAGTGTTTCTTTAATGTGAGGTAAATTAGAGATTAGTGCCACGAATAATATACTAGATTGCCTACTTACAACCAGATGAGGATGATGATGGGCTCTAGCTGCAGTCTGACTCCACTGGTCTGGTGTAGAACAGGCTCTCTGGAGGCTGTTTGTAACTGTGGTCACAAAAATCAATGTTCTGGGAGAACGGGAAGCAGCTCCATTTTTTGGGGGCCCTTTACACAGCTCAAGGTCTGGGTTCCAGGGACCACCTTCATGTTCCACCAATGAGTTTGTTCACAGGGGGTGGAGTGTGTAGGGGATGTCCTGATATGTGTGTAAGGAATGCATTGTGTGAATCTGTGTTTGTATGTGTAAGGGCTGCAAGGTGTGTTTCTGTAAGGGGTGCATTGAGTGTGTGTACGGGGTGCATTTAGTGTGTGTAAGGAATGCATTGTGTGTTTCTGTGTGTGTAAGGTTTGCATGATTGTGCGATTGTGTGTGTGTGATGGATGTCAATCTCTCTCCCTCCCTTGTCACTCTCTTTCTCCCCCTCCCGCCCTTGTCACTCTCTTTCTCCCCCTCCCTGCCTCCCTTGTCACTCTCTTTCTCACCCTCCCTCCCTTGTCACTCTCTTTCTCCCCCTCCCTCCCTCCCTTGTCGCTCTCGTTCTCCCCCTCTCTCCCTCCCTTGTCCTCTTTCTCCACCATCTCTCCCTCCCTTGTCACTCTCTTTCTCCCCCCTCCTCTCCCTCCTTGTCCTCTCATTCTCCCCTCCTTGTCACTCTTTCTCTCCCTCCCTCCCTTGTCACTCTCTTTCTCCCCCTCCCTCCCTCCCTTTTCACTCTCTTTCTCCCCCTCCCTCCCTCCCTTGTCACTCTCTTTCCCCCCCACCATCCCTTGTCACTCTCTTTCTCCCCCTCCCTCCCTGTCAATTCCTTTTGTTTCCTGTACCCGGCCGGACTAACAGGAAGTGCACACTGAGTTAGTCCGGCCGGGTACAGGAGACAGATGCTCCCTGTACCCGCGGACCATGATACAGGGCTCGACCACGCTACAGTGAGGGAGTGACAGGAGGGAGCGCTGAGAGCTTCCCTCCTGTCAGCCCCTCTCCTCGGGCTGCGCCCGGGCAGTGCGGTCCGCCCTCATGGACGCACCGCCTGGGCGAAGCTGCAGCCACCTGAGGCTCTCTGTAGAGCGTCAGGCGGCTGCAGCATGGGGGGCTTGGCAGAGCTGGGGGGGATTTCCCCATAACCTGTCCCCCCCGCATGATTTGCTGGGGGGGGATGCGTCCACCCCATCCCCCCCGGTTCCTACGCCCATGGTCTGAATGCTCTAGTTGTTCGATATCTTTATCTCAGTACTGAGTGAATACCGACTGACAAAGGTCTGATTAATCTATACAGGGCCCCATTAGTGATATATCGAAGCATATATTATATCATTCACACAGAGGAGCGAAAACCAACAACTCATTATTATTATTAGTGCCATTTATATAACGCCAACTTATTCCGCAGCGCTTTACAATATTATAAAGTGAGAAATTTAAAAACAAATTATTCAGGTACATAAAGTTACAGGAGTAGCAGGTTGATGAGTGCAACAGTCGAAAGAGCTTACAATCTTTGTAACAAATAAACATAAATTAAAAAAGTTAAACAGCAATAAAAAGGATGGAATTAAAATGATAAAAAATAATTATTTTATTATTACTATTATTATTATTATGTTACACATATTATACTACTATTGCTTATTGTTTTTCTTCCTACATCACATTATTTATTTAGAGGTCGTAAAGGAGAAAACTCCTTTCTTTCACTATTATTTTTTTTCTGGTATTTACCAATAAAAACATTCATTTTTCTTTATATTTACAATCTATTGTAGTGCATTGTTTGGGAGAATCACACAGAAATGTTTCAACAGCGTATTATTATAAACAAACCATGCGATTTGTAATTGGAATCACCAAATAAGTGCTTTGCTCACAATTCTATCTACTGCCTTGTGTTTCATGAAATCAAAGTAAATCTGGAGCCAGCTCAACCCTATATAAAACTCATTCACCCTAAAACCTGACTTTGAACAATTAACCTGAAACTTGGGGTAAAACCATGTCCGACATGTTACTTGCAAACTGGAAATGAAACGTTGTTTCCTGCCCTAATTTTCCTGCTTTGTAGTATTATTTATTACAATTTTCAAATCAAGGTTACAGGGAGCAGCTATTTTTATAAATAATATATGAATGAGAACACTGCTTATTCAGCACATTCTAATATCGCCACAAATAGAATACAATGTGCATTTTTCTTTGCTTATCATGTGACAGAAGTCCTTATATCACCTCAGAGGGAGCATGTTTTAAACGAAAAACTGCAGCTTCCCAGGACGGACAGAGGGACGGACAAATGGACAGACGGATAAATAGATAGATAGAAAGATAGATAGATGGATGGATGATAGATTATTTCTATTTATATATTTGACACAGACAGAGCACACATTTCACAGGCTAATACTTTGTATACAGTTATTTATGCAATATTCTGTATGGTTTCCCATGTGGTACAAATAACCTCACTGACACTATAAATCTTTCTCCATAAGCCCCCAGTGGACTCATCACACACAAGATATATAGATAGATGGATAGATAGACAGACAGACAGACATAATTTCCCCTGAAAATTAGACACCCCTCGAAAATAAGCCCTGGCTCATTTCCGGGGGATGCTCATAATATAAACCCTACCCCACAAATAAGCCCTAGTTGCGTGTTCCCTAATCTATGTTCGGGGAATTTTCCCCAAACATAGATTCACGGGATTCCATGCGCTAGTGAACTGGACTATGTTCAGGGAAATTCCCCCAAATGTAGACCTGCTTTCTTGAGCATGCCACCTTCTGTTTTTCCCTGACAATAAGACATTCCCAAAAATAAGCCTTAGTGCATTTCTGGGGGAAAAGATTTATTTAAAACCTGTCTTAGTTTCGGGGAAAGACGGTAGATAGAAAGATAAATAGATTGACAGATAGACAGACAGATTATTTGCATTTATGTATTTGACACAGACAGAGCACACATTAAACAGGCTCATTTAATGTGAAGTAATACTTCGTATACAGTTATTTATGCAGTATTCTATTTTGTGGTTTCCCCTGTGGTACAGATAACCTCATTGAATCTATAAATCTTGCTCCAGAAGCCCCCAGTGGACTCATCACACATCATCATGATCAAGGTTCTGGCCTGCTGCAGCTAATGCCCAGGAATGGGAAAGTTGAGACAGAGAGATGCTCAAAATCTACCACTTCCAAAATTCTCTGACAGCATTAAGACTTGGAAAATCTTGTAGTTCTAGCACTGCTGCTAATCTACTTTCTGGCCAGCCATGGTCATTGTAACAAAACAACGAGGAAGTCACAAAACTAACTGACTGGGACCACAAAGCATCAATCATGGTTATAAAGTGAAAATCTTGTAATTGATTTAAATAATGCATTCATTGATGTGTGAAGGGGAGCACTTACCTATGGAGTACAGAGTTTGCAAACCATGTCCTCAGTCCCATTCTATGAGATCACACCATTTACAGTCCACCCTGCCCCATCACTTGTCTGGACTCCTATTGTCACTGGCTCCATGTCACCTAATGCTTCAGAATGATATCCTCTGCATCTCCCTCTGTCTGAGCTGCTCTCCCTGCACCCTGTCCAATCTCTCTGCCTCTCATATTCAGCCTGGCATCCTCCAAATCTGACTCCAGCAACTCTCCCCTCCTCCCCCTGTCCCATGTGCTACTAATCCCCCTCCCCCTTCTAGATGTGTGTACTTGGGCATTATGCTGCAGTATAGAAGGACACTCAGTGATCACAAACTTGCTGCATACAGTAGTAAAGGCATTTATAAATAGCCCTTCCTCTGTACTATGTTTATTCTCTGGCAAGACACAATGCCCTCTCTAATAATAATGGTGCTGTTTGCTGCATCCCAAAAAGAGCAGGTAAGATCGCAGTCTGAATTCTGTCCAAAATGCTGCATATCTAAAACAGAGCAGTGGAAACTGTATCTACAGGGAGAATGGGAAATCAGGAACCACTGCAGAATCATTTTCTATATTCTCATTTCTCAGCATTATAGGACATTGTGGGCATTTGGGAGAATTTAGATTTTATTTTAGTGAGGTGTTAAATATGGGCTGATACAAAAAGTTACTGTAACTGTAGTTTGTCTTCACTGAATCTGACTGCATTGGCCACCTATAGTTTAATAAATTATGCACCAGATCAGAAAATGCTGCTGCCTTTGTATACTACAACTCCCTTAGTTCACCAGTGATGGAGGATGTATTGTATCACAATGAAGCAGTCGTGACTTTGGCTGCTGTGCTCTCCAACTCCCTCCATTCCCAGCCAGCCATTGTACACTGTAAGAAGGTAAGGGACACCTGTGATATAAAGAGCATGTGGACTAAGGATGGCTAAAATATATAACCCCAGCTATGGAAGACTACAACTCCTATGATGCTTTGCCAGCCTTTAGGCAGATTTTTGACCACCCCCTGATTACTGTAGAGTGACATCAATCAACATCCCACGGCAGCTGGCAAAGCAGATACAATACAGGAACAGAACGTGCAACATTGTATAATGGTGCAGAGTATCTGGCAGAGTGCAAGACTGGTAAAGCAGAGGCTGCGATCAGGGCTGGGTTTGGAGAATTGCTCCTCCCCCAACCACCCCAGCTAAATGCAGAGAGAAGAAGCCACTCAGCAGACTACATCTGCACATGGGAAGGAGTCCAAGGAGAGGACCTCATAGACAGGCTGGGTAGGTAGGAGAATAGTGAGTTAAGGGTGGCCAGTGACACAGGTAGGTGAGCACACAGAGGAGTTAGGGACCCCTGGCACATTAAGGGTGACAACAGAAGAGGAAGCAGTGAGGGGTTAAGGTTGGCACATGTAGGTATTGATGCAGAGGGCAGCAGTGAGGGGTTAAGGTTGGCACAGGTAGGTGTTCCTACAGAGGGAGCAGCAGTGAGGGGTTAAGGGTGGCACAGGTAGGTGTTCCTACAGAGGGGGCAGCAGTCAAGGGTTAAGGTTGGCACAGGTAGGTGTTCCTACAGAGGGGGCAGCAGTGAGGGGTTAAGGGTGGCACAGGTAGGTGTTCCTACAGAGGGGGCAGCAGTGAGGGGTTAAGGGTGGCACAGATAGGTGTTCCTACAGAGTGGACAGATGTAAGGGTTAAGGTAGAAGGTAGGTGTTCCTACAGAGGGGGACGCAGTGAGGGGTTAATGGTGGCACAGGTAGGTGTTGATACAGAGGGGACAGCTGTGAGGGGTTAAGGTAGGTGTTGATACAGAGGGGACAGCTGTGAGGGGTTAAGGTAGGTGTTTATACAGAGGGGACAGGAGTGAGGGATCCCTCTTATTGATCACAGAGAAGAATGAGGACTAGCTCTCCATCTTAGCTCTAATCAGTGAATTTGGGGGAGAATACTTTTTGGAGATCCCTTCTATCTGCTCCCCTCCCCTCATCAATACAGAATGGCTTTGGGAGTGGGATCCCCCTGGGACCGAGAGCTGTCCCCCCACAGAGGTGGACTTCAGTGGCACTCTGGGCTTATGATCCTACTGCTGGGTAAGTGCGTTGAACAGCTAAGTGCTTTCCTTCTTCTGTGATAAGACCTGTGCTATTATTGCCAGGCACAGGCTAACCAGGGCTCAGCCAACATGAAGCCTGGCAGGCATGATGGGACATGTAGTCCTGAACCCTGTGGAGTGCCAAGTTTAGCTGTGACACTGATCTATGGCAGAGTTGGGGATGTCTGTCTATGTGTGCAGTCTGCATGCAATATGTATGCTGTCACCTTGTTCAAGCCTTTAGGATGTCAGTGAGCAAGATAAGAGCACTAAAGTAATCTCTGCTGTGACTACATCCATTTATCTCTGCCCCCTTCCCATCTCAGAATCTGCTTTGTGCATCTAAATTTAACTAAAATGACAATGTACACCCCCCCACCCCCCACCAACACTCACACTTACTAAATGTCAGACAGACTGCAGAGGTACTGCAGGCATTCAGAGACAGTGAGGGTATATTAAGGGTTAATAAAATCACATTATTTTCCAGCCTTGACACTCCTCACTGCATCTCCTCTGTATGATTGTGTACAGTATCCTGGGGACCACCTGCACATAATCCAGCCTCTGTTAGTGACTCAGCACTCAACATCCATTAGAATAACAGCCTTACTGAGTCAGCAATGAAAGAAGGCCATTCTATAATGACTTGGGTGTTTTATCACTGTGTTACCTTGCCAATATCAGATCACCTTGAGGATACACTCAGAGTGTAGATGCCCTGTGTGTTTAGCATTGCAGCAAGCGGATAGAATGATATTGAAATCTACAATCTCGCTCTACTTTTCATACAGTGTTAGCTGGCTAGTAACCCAAAGCCTTTTTTAGGCTCCCAGTGGAAGGGATTATTGATTTTTTTTTCTCCTGAATATCCAATAAGACCTATGATCACATACCGAGCCACTTACATCTTATTTCTTCATAGGTAACAGATCACTTTTCATAAAAATGAATCTATAAAAATGTGTTTTTCACGGTCTGTCTGATAACACTGTCAGGGGTTAAGTTGTCCCAGACTTGTGGGATCTTAATGATATTTAAGTATTGCACTTCCAAATATAGACACTCAGGTGCGCAAAATGGAGTTATATATATTTCATGTCTTTTATGGACTTCGCAAAGCCATTTATACTGTTGTAAATTGTACCAATAAAATAAACACCCTTTTCTTTTAAACCCATCATGCATGCCATTAACTACCTCTACACAGAAGCAATGTCTTTACCGGTCCAATGGTTAAAGAGTTACTCCAGGCGCCATTACCACTTCAGTGATTTGAAGTGGTCCTGTTGCCAGGAGTCTGCATGTGCAATGTTTCGCTATGGATATTATGTCTGTATGTGCATATTATAGATATTATGTCTGTATGTGCAGTGTTTTGCAATTAATACTGCGAATACGGAGAGTAATCCCTCTGCTAGAGATATAACTCCATCTCCCATAAGCGACACTGAAGTGTTATCAACTAGCCTGATTATAGAATTCCGTCCGGGCTGACTAATGTAAATTCTGTGCATATTGCTATTGGCTGCTCATTGGCTTAGAGTGGTCAGCTGACACTCTCAGCCAATCAATCCCCAGCACAAATCAGAATCTAGCTCTGCAGAAGCTGGATACATGTCTCATCCAGCCTTAAAGGAGTCCAATCAGGTAAGACGTCAAATAGTTGCAAAAACGAGAACTGATGACAGATTACTCCTACCACCATAACCACTAAGATGGGCTGTACTGGTGATGGTGCTTTGAGAAAGACCTGAAATAAAAATAACAATTTCCCTTAAATTTGAAGTTTATGCAATGCCGAATCCTAATAAATGCTAATATTTCTAATAAACTCACTTTATCAGCATCTTTTTCTTTTTTTTGGGGGTGGAGGGAGGTGAGGTGGAGCAGGTTAATGCAATAGAGTTCTGTGCTACAGCCACCTGACGTGTAAATCCAGCCCCGAGTGTCAGTGTTTATGCATATCACGACTTTCTCCTCCTGGAAAATGTTCTTCGGAGAGCCTTGATTAGTGGATCACTAAAGAAAACACACAGTACAGTGCATTACTTGGAGAAAGGCTGTGGTCCTTTTATTTTAATTCACTCACAGAACCCATAACTGTAAAAATGAAAGGTATTCTGCCAATATATTTACTGTCCACCTGCAGTCTTCCTGTGGCTCCCCTCAAACTATCAATAATATTCATGTCGTGCTAGTCCTGCAGGCTATTCATTCACAGCGCCGTCAACTTAGCGGTTCCAAGAGGACAGTCACCAGAAATTGCCTCTTCTGCTTCTCCTAGGGTTTAAAAAATATATAAAAAAAATAACAGAGCCACTTTAAGAATGAATATCTAGCATAGATAACCGCTTAGAAACCCCTGGCCCAGGAGAATTGAAATCCCAGCCTGAATTGTATTCATTTAAAAACGATGCTTACTCCACAATTCATTTAAAAGGCAAAATGACCATCGAATCCAAATGGAGACAATAAATAAATAATCAAATCACGGTGTTAAAGGGGGACTGGTATTTTCCCGGATTTTCAGTATTATCAGGATTATTTACTAAAGTGAGCATTCAAAGTGAATTCAAATGAATTTTAAATTTAGGGGCCAAAAGAGCAAAATTGGAAAAAAAATCTTTGTCTGCTGTGCCTCCGATTTGTCTAGTTTAGTCTTTGAAATTCACTTTGAACAGGAAATAACCCTGTATGTTCACTTAAAATTAACAGATGTGTATTAGCTGACAAATAAAAAATGGAATAAAGAGAAATGAACACACGTTTGAGGTCATTTTATAATTTTTTAATTAATAATTTAATTACATTAATAATCTAATTAATAATCTAATTTCCAGAGAAGTGACAGTCCCACAAAAATACACTGGGGTCAAGAATTTAATTAAATTATTTGAACCTGTAGAATGTAAGCGCGCTATAGCATGGTTTTCAAAAACCTCTTCTTTGTTGTTAACATTTGTAATAATTTGCTTATTATTAGCTGTTGTACCCGCCCCCTTAAAATTGTAATGCACTACAGAATATCTTGGTGCTATATTAGCATATATATACCTGGGATATTTTTACCTTGTTCCTGTTCACATTAATTAGGGTTTTTCACAAAAGTCTGATTTGTCAGCCTCAAAGGTGAAATTCATTTGAATTCAAGTTATATTCCTGACATTTCACACTGAACGATCAACCTTGAATGTGTTTCACTTGTTTGCTTTTTTTACGTACCTGCTGTATTTGTAAAGTGCTGCAGAATATTGAGATTTATGGGGAATAGTGATGTCCCGAACTGTTCGCCGAACGGTTCGCGAGCGGTTCGCCACGAACGGTTCGCCACAGACTCATCACTGAATGCGTCTGCTGACTGTGAGGTACAGGGTCAAAGTTTACTCAATGATGAGTCCGCGGCGAACCGTTCGTGGCGAACCGTGGCGAATCGTTCGCGAACCGTTTTGCGAACAGTTCGGGACATCACTAATGGGGAACACTATAAAATATCTCTTAAACATAAAATCTGCAGAATAATTGAGGGTTCCAGAAAAATTAGAATTCAATACAATTGGGACAATTTTCATCACACTTTACTTACTTTAAAACCTGCTTTAAATTAACCCTCTCATGTTTCAAAAGATATGTTAACTACTTACCGTTATAATGTCATGTGTTATCTGAAACAGATGCTTTAAGGAGTTTATTTACAAAAAAACACAAAATCTAGTGAAGCTAAAATTTAATTAAGAAGAAATTAAAAACAACTAAATAAAAAAAGAAAAATCTTGACTCTAACACAGCTCGGCCATTTCGTCTGAAATTTAGCAGAGCATGAGGACATCCAGCTTTGTTTAAGGGAAAGGGATCCAGAGTCCTGTAAACTTGCATAAGCACCTTTAGTAACTGTCTGATAGACAGTTACTAGACGCTGTCTTAGTATTTCAATGTAAACATTGCAGTTTCTCAAAAACTGTCATTTTTACATTACAGAACTAAGGGAGACAGGGATATTGCACCCAGACCACTTCAATAATCTGAAGTAGTCTTGGTGCCTATCATAGGCGTGCGCAGCCTATTGCATTAGGGTGTGCACCCTAAAGCACAAGCACATGCCGCATATATATATATATATGTATGTATGTATATACATACACATATATACACACATACACACACTGCTGTGTGTGTGTGTGTGTGTGCTGTGTGAGGGTGCTGTTAGTGTGATGTGTGTGTGACGATGCTGGTAGTGTGCTATGTGGGTGAGGGTGTTTGTGTGTGCGTGCTTGTGAGGATGCTGTTAATGTACTGTGTGTGAGGGTGCTGTTTGTGTGTGCACTTGTGAGGGTGCTGTTAATGTACTGTGTGTGAGGGTGCTGTTTGTGTGTGAGGGTACTGGTAGTGTGCTGTGTGTGTGTTTGTTAGGGTCCTGTTTGTGTTTGTAAGGGTACTGTTAGTGTGCTGTGTGTGTTTGTGAGCGTGCTGTATGTGTGTGTGGGTGCTGTATGTGTGTTGGTGCTGTATGTGTGTGGTGTGCTGTGTATGTCTGTGGGTGCTGTGTGTGTCTGTGGGTGCTGTATGTGTGTGGGTGCTGTGTATGTCTGTGGGTGCTGTGTATGGGTGCTGTATGTGTGTGCTGTGTGGGTGCTGTGTATGTTTGTGGGTGCTGTGTGTTTGTGGGTGCTGTATGTCTGTGTGGTGGGTGCTGTGTATGTCTGTGGGTGCTATGGTGGGTGTATGTCTGTGGGTGCTGTATGTCTGTGGTATGTCTGTGGGTGCTGTATGTCTGTGGATGCTGAATGCTGAATGTCTGTGGTGTGCTGAATGTGTGTGGGTGCTGTCGTGTGTGTGCTATGTGTGTGTGTGCTGTATGTGTGTGGGTGCTGTATGTGTGGGTACTGTGTATGTCTATGGGTGCTGTGCTGTGTATGTCTGTGGGTGCTGTGTGTGGGTGCTGTGTGGGTGCTGTATGTCTGTGGGTGCTGTATGTCTGTGGGTGCTGAATGTGTGTGGGTGCTGTGTATGTCTGTGGGTGCTGAATGTGTGTGGGTGCTGTGTATGTCTGTGGGTGCTGAATGTGTGTGGGTGCTGAATGTGTGTGGGTGCTGTACGTGTGTGTGCTGTGTGTGTGTGTGTGTGCTGTATGTGTGTGGGTGCTGTATATGTGTGGGTACCGTGTATGTCTGTGGGTGCTGTATGTCTGTGGGTGCTGTGTATGTCTGTGGGTGCTGTGTATGGGTGCTGTATGTGTGTGGGTGCTGTGTATGTCTGTGGGTGCTGAATGTGTTTGGGTGCTGAATGTGTTTGGGTGCTGAATGTGTTTGGGTGCTGTGTATGTCTGTGTGTGCTGTGTATGTCTGTGGGTGCTGTATGTCTGTGTGTGCTGTGTATGTCTGTGGGTGCTGTGTATGTCTGTGGGTGCTGTGTATGTCTGTGGGTGCTGAATGTGTGTGGGTGCTGTGTGGGTGCTGTATGTCTGTGGGTGCTGTGTATGTTTGTGGGTGCTGTATGTCTGTGGGTGCTGAATGTGTGTGTTGTGTGTGTGTGTGCTGTATGTGTGTGGGTGGGTGATTGTGGGGGGTGGAGGTGGGGGTACATTATTTGCTATCCCCCCTCCCTTCTTACCTTTTGTAGGGAGGGGAGATCGTGCTGCTGCTTCCTTCCCTGGTGGTCCAGTGAAGGAGGGGATCCTTTCTGCTGTGATCCCTGGTGGTCCAGTGGAGAGTGAACTCTAACCCCTGTGGGGCTAGAGTTCACTCTCGCGAGATTTGAGCGTTGCAGCGGCAACGCTCATATCTCGCGAGAGGAACCCGGCGGAGCTGCCGGCAGGAGCTCCGCCGGGTCCTCTCCTGCCTCCCTCCCTGCATGTGGGTCAGTGGGGAGGGAGGCTGAGAGCAGAGCCGGCGCTCGGATAGCGCCGGCTCTGCCTGAGCCGACAGGGGAGATCCTGAGATCTCCCCTGCCGGTCTCAATATGCATAGGCGTGCCGCGGGATTAGGGTGTGCCCAGGCACACCCGGCACACCCCATGCGCATGGCTATGGTGCCTATAGTGTCCTTTTAATATGATGTTTGTAAAATTGAAGTATGCAAATGACAATGAAGTGGGTCAATGAAGTGGGTCACTCTTTACAGTTTTGTTTACAAGCAGTGACTATAATTGCTTGCTGGTTTTTGTATTTTATTTTTAAATTTTTAAAAATAGCATAATTTGCGTGTGCAGTATTTTCTTTAAACACGTCTCTACAGGTAATTACTTAATTTTCGGACATGTAGAAGCTATACTGTATCTTGTTACAGAAAATGTATATAACAAATTAAGTTATTCAATGAATTATTTTTTTCTTCTTCTTCAGACAATACACAAAAACCCAACACATACACATGTGTTTTTTCACTAGAGATCAAATGTCCAGAATAGCAAAAGTAACTCATGGCCATCAGAGCATATTCAGAGGCAAAAAAAAGACATTGTTTGCAGTATTTAACAATTCTGCCCAATATAGTCTGCACTATAACCTTGAACCATTGGGCAATTAAGACCACAACAGTATTACGCTATGTTGTATTTTTTATTTATGTGTTAGTGATACAAGCTGGATCCCTATTCCATATGTACCATATTATACTTTTTATATAGTTACCATTTTGGGAGGTAACTGAAGGGAAGCAAGTATCCAAAGTTAAGTTTAACTTTTTATTCCACGGGTGATTTGGTGGAAGCTATTTTGTACAATATAGTCTGCAGTCTGATATATTTGCCTGCAGTGCAAGCAGTCAGCAGGCAAAAAGTTTAAGTACACGATTTAAAAAGGTGGTGTCTGAGCCTATATCTTATTATAATACATGCCTTATGGGGGTCACCATGCCCCCGTATAACTAGCCAGAGGGCCAAATCCTTTCCTAAAGCTCACTTATGTGCTCTATGTTGTGGGATGGGGTTTATAAATATCTGATAGGGGTTCTCACCATACACCATACCTATTACGCAGCAGGTGGGGGCTGAAAAATATACGACATGGCTGCCCAGTTCCTTTTCCCCCATGACTTTAGAGGAGGAATGGAGGCTACTAATTTCTCTCTTGAACAATACTATAGGGTAAGTGAATGGTTAATTGTTCTAGCAGTTGTAGAATGGAAACTCTCAGAATCCTCAGCAAGTTTCAGCCTAATCATCATAGGGGTATGACCTTCGGGAACCTCAGATGGTTGAGAAAAAAATTGGAGATTATTAACCAGGAGCGGACAGATAAACAGAATTTCAGTTGGGAAGAGGAGTTGTTTAACAGGAAGGGAGATGAGGAACAGGGGTAGGAACGGTTTGATTGGCTTCTTCAAGAATAAGATAAAACACACAAAAAATGTTCAACAGCGGAGGATATGTCTAAAAATAATATTACATTTGGATGAAGCATTGTTCAATTTTTTTTTTTGCAAAGTACGGCAAAGGAATCATAGTGTGCAAAAAAAAAAAGAGTCTTTTAACAGAAGGTCTTTTGTTGAGACGCAAACACATAAATAAAGTGTTACAGAAATAAAAAAATGGGAACGGCATCTATTAGAGCCAGTCCCGTATATTGAAAGAAGTATCATACTGTGTACGTGAATAGATGTGAAATTCTTCAGTTCTAATATTGCGGAGCTTGGCAACTATAGTATATTTAACTTAAACAATTCAGGTGAGAACACACCAATAATTCCTTTTGAATAAGATTTATAAAAACAAAATGTTAAATAATAGATGCAATAAAAGAAAGCATAAAGTACAATACACATATGGTTGGCGAATGATCAGGACAGATTTAGTCCTAAAGATTTCCCTTATATATATATAAATCTTCCATGTCAAATCGGTTGCAACCATAATATCGTCAAAAGTAGCCTTTAAATTAATACATCAAGAAGCTAAAATTTAAGGAATATTTCATATGTTAAATCAACTTAGAGTCAATAAAACCTACAATGTATGCAGATGATGTGATACTCACGTTGAGTGACCCTCTGACATCCTTGGAAGAGTTGATGGATATCATAAGTGAGTTTTCATTATACGCAAGATATAAACTGAATTTAAATAAATCTGCAGCACTCCTGTTTAACAGTAAAAAAGAAATGATCTAAAAAAATTTGGTTTTGACTGCACTAGAAATTCTCTTGAGTGCTTGGGTATAGAAATTACTAATGAGCCAACTAGAATGATGGAACACAACTTGTTAAATTTGTTGAAATATACAAACAAAGCAGCTCTGTCATTGTTTTTATATAATTTGCAAAGACATCCAACGGTGATATTACCACTTGGGATCCAGGGAATGGTGAGATTTACTTACCTGAACCTGTCCCTCGTGGGTACCACCATCCTCTTCTTGCTGCTCCTCTTCAGCTCTGTACACACTCGCATGCGTGAGAGTAGAACATTGAGGTCTTTGGAGGATCACACAAAATCCTGGATAGAAAGAGATGGTCACTAGTGATGTCTAGGAGAAATGACAAGATTTGATGGAAGTAACTTCATTTGGTTTATATTTGTCAGGCATAGGAAAATACTGAGAAAAATTAGTCCCAACTTTTTTTCAACTGGGGTCGTTTTTATGAAATATTCATATGGGGAGTGACGGAGACACTTTAAGTGAAGTTGAAATTAAACTTTTATTTCTAAGCAATGAACAAAGAATACTCGAGGAACATAAGGTAAGTATCTGCCTTGATGTCTCCAACCGCCCTTCATTGTAGTCCAAATGTTTTTAAACTTTCTAACTGATACTCAAACCTTAAATCTATATATGTTTTGGGAATATTATTGTAATACATTGGTTTAGCTTGATTTCTTGGAACTAAAATCCTGTTGTTCACTTTTCCTTTTCCAAGTTATAATCACTGGTTTGATGGTATGGCCTTGATGCACAAGTTCACAATTGAGAATGGATCTGTGACTTATATGAGTAAATTTCTTGAAAGTGATTCTTACAAAGCAAATCAAAGTCAAAATCGAATTGTGGTTTCCGAATTTGGAACAGTGGCCATGCCAGACTGAGATCTGCTGTCCACATTCTGGGTATATATACCCTCCTTGAAGTGAAAAGTGGCAATGAGACATCAATTAAGGATAGTTTCACATAGGGCAAATCGCCTAACGAGTACATTTGAAATGCAAATACAAATTGCAATAAATGCTGAAAAATAAATAATAAAAACTGAATAATAAATAATAAAAAACAAACAAATCATATTAAATGTTACTCAATCATTCATGAATCATAAAAATTTTTTTATACAATTAATACCAAACAATAAACATAAGAATACATAAGGATAAGTGTCCACCATCAAACCGGTGGCATAACCTCCTCAATAGAAAAATATTAAGAGGTATAAAACTAACACCTGTAGAATAGAAGTTGCATGAACCCCAAAGGGCAATTCAAATAATCGGTAATGTGTATCCACAACAAATTTATAATAATAATTATATGGATAAGGAAAATTTGGGGGTCAAGATGCCCATGTGGTATAATACCTTGTGTTTAGACATTCATAGGAAAATAATAATTAGATAATAAAAGGATTTTTTTGTGTATGAAGCAAATAACTTTTTACACATTCATAGCCCTCAATCGACCAGAAACATAAAAAAGTAGGAGTGGATCTTGTGTTGAATGTACACACTGTTCGTAATGAATATATAAATCCCTTATCTTAACCTTATAATCAATAGTTTTATAGAGAATTAGTAGAAAGTGCATCTAATGTATTCTTAGTGTGTCTGGAGGTCGATAAGACAAAGGACCAGGGAGAGGCCACATCACTGTTATCAGAGAATAAACTAAACTAACTACGTAACATACGTCTACCTCCCTATTCTACACAACCACTCACAAAACCATCGGGAACATAAATCATGGGGAGAAAATCCAACAAATGGGAGAGTATAAAGGTATCATGGTGGGGGAGAAGTAATATGATAAAAGCATACATAAATCCAAAGTGGGTCTATCTCTTTCGCATGTTACCTCTACACTGTCCAGAAAGTTAGTTGTCCCTGGTCCAATCGATTTTTAATAAGTTCCTTTGGGCAGGGAAACGCCCACGTATAAGCTTAAATTGATTGGCTCTAAAGATCAACCATGGGGGCTTGGGAATTCCACAGTTACAACAAACTTGGAAGGTGTATAATATTGCACAAGCAATTATCCCCCAGTCTGGCACGGCAAAGAACCAAATATGGTATAAAATGGAACAATTTCTATATAACAAAGGGAAGCAGAAGGAGGAATTAAGTACCTTATTCTGGACAAATGGAGATAAAAGAAAATATAGGTATAGTCTTAACTCTAATAGTCAAATTTTAAATAATATATTAGAAATGCTCTAGATGTGCAAGATAAAATAATTTCTAATAATTACTACAGGAACCTGCAGTGCCAGGAACACGGATATGTTTTCCTGGCACTGGAGAGTCCCTTTAACTCCAAGTAGACTAGCAAAAATGCATTTAAATATTTCCGACAGATGTTGGAGATGTGATTCTGATAATGGAGGGATGACGCATATCTGGTGGGAGTGTGGGTCAATATTTCGTTTCTGGAGTATCGTTGCCATTAAAATAAAGAAGCTGACTAATATCAAGACAGACTTATTCCCGAGCATCTTTTTACTGCATCTAAATATGTATCAATTCTTTGGGCAATTCTTTGCACTAGTTATACATATATTGATGGCTGCAAAAATATTGGTGGCAAGAAACTGGAGATCTATTAAGGTTCCATGTTGGGACTTAGTTCAAGAACAACTGGTACTGTATGTCAGTTAAAGATGAAAATGGGAATAGTATCAACAGATAGGAAAAGGATGAAGGAATGGCTGTTGAAGATACAACAGACGTAATTTTTATTTTTTAAATCTAACCCCCTGAACACAATACAAAGTATAATATAGCCTAACAAAAGCAGATTGGCAACATGATATATTGAAGTCCTATCGCAGGAATAATTAAGTAGAGCTTTATAACATTAAATGATGTTTTGTGTTGAGGTGTCTGTTATGTGATGTAATATTTAAATTTTGAATATGAGCAATGTGTTAAAATAATGGGTATAGAAGATATATAGATATAGCTCGATTCTAAACATATAAACACATAACTGTGTCTATGTTGTAGTGTATGGTTTTGTGATTGTGTATTTATATAAAATACTTTCTGAAAATAAAAAAGATTAGATATGAAAAAAAAGCATAAAGTAATCTAAATGTACAGTAATTATGCGCAACAATAGTGAGCCACCACGTTCCTTAGAGATAAACTACTACGATATAAGTAAAAAAAACAAAACAACATATAGTGCAGTCACATAGCATAATGTGATTTTTTTTTTAGCGAGGACACAGGCTCTCATTGGGCTATATTTGTTTATTGATAATGGAGATGGTCCTTAAAATACCCTCAAGACTTTTTAGGGTGCAATAGAATTTTAGAAGATGCGATAAATCAACAGTTCCACTTTTAGACTGTAAATAGAACCAATAAATAGAGTATTCAGATGTATATTTAAGTGTAAACCAAAAACAAAGAAGATTCAGAATATGACTGTGTAAATCTACAAGAAAGACATAAAACAAAGCATAGTGTGATCACAAATGTTTTGTTTTATACCACTATGTTTTGTTTCATGTCTTTCTTGTAGATTTACACAGCCATATTCAGAATCTTCTTTGTTTGTGGTTTACCTTATATGATATAGGTCGTTTGTTGGGTAGCGACCTAGGGAGGCTGTTACACGTTTTTATAAGCTAAGTACTATTGCTTATCATTTTATTTATTGTTTGAGATATATTCGTATATTTAAGTGTATCTATTTCTACACCCATAAGATTACTTGATCTATTTCACCCTTTGTACATTGCAGCAGAATATAAATAAATGATATTCTGTTTAGTAATAACCTTTGATAATGAATTAAACATTTCTATTAATGGATTATCTGACCTGTCTGTTATCTTCTTAGAAGTTGTTGGGCTAAGTGGTCACCCTTGTTAACATGTACAATTTCAATAAATGTTGCCTTTCATTTCACGGTGATATAAAGCACTTGGATGTGCATGCACTGCACTATGCCAACTCATGTTTTTTCTTTTGATTCATTTAGATTATTGGATTAAAGCTGGGTAATCAAGTTACATAAAGAGATAGGGCGAGATTTATCAAGGGGTAAATAGGTGCTATTTTGGGGTGACACTAAATATAGAGGAATCACCATGGAAACCAATGGAATGTTTCTCAACATTTAGCACTTTGTGTCCAATATTGCACCCATTTTGTGTTGACAAAGCTGTCCCTTAGTATACAGTCCATCACACGGTACAATTGACACACTGTTTGCAAGATTATGTCATGTCTGTCGCTCATCATACGATCAAGTTATTACAAGAAAAAAGTAGCAAATGCTTGGAAGCAATTTTAGTTTGTTTTTTTTATATCACACAGTTAAAATGCATTTTTTGTGCACTAAGCCTTAATCATGTTTTCATGCCATTGTCTTTATTTTTTATCAAAGGTCCCTTTCCCTCTGATGTCATTTGCACACACAGCACTGTGCACAACATTGCCAGCCAAGTACTCCGTGCTCTGCCCTGGCAGGCTTAGGACGTAGAACATAAATTAAATTATACTTCCAATAAATACATGGAACATGTATTACTGCTAATACTGAGGAGTCAAGTACTTCAGAATGGCCAGTATATTGATTGGTTCCCAGTAACATATTATCACACTGTCAGCCAGGGTTACCTCTGCCTCTCCAGGGTACGAACATTAGGCAGGGACTATAAAGGCAAAGAAAGGCGTTTTTCAAAGTTAGAAGAAATGATGGATCTAATGGGTGAAAGTTAAAAGAAAAAATTAATTTACTCCAGATACACAGCTTTTTATTACTACCATCCATCCTAAGCATTGTTCGACTTCATCCCTTAATTGCGAACCTTCCCAACCCAGTCAAAAAACTCTCCTTCCAGTTTATCTCCTTTACTGAGAACAACATATATACACGTGCTAATTTTAATTTTCCATTACATCGCATGCCGTAAGAATATATATTTGGTATGAACACTTGGAAGTGCTAATATATAACATCCACTAATATGAACATATCTATTTTCAAAATCCAGCAAGATTTGAGTATGTGACAACAGCACCTGTTTTGTCTGCATAAATCTGTCTCTTCGTGTATTAATGCAAATCTCAGCTTATTTAGGTTCTGTAACGGAACATGCAATGAGTTACTGTGTCTTTAATCTCCCTGGAGACCCCTGTCAGTCATTGGATTAATGTTTATGGTTTCCTTCTGGTTACTAGAAGACATGTATGCTATGTGTCCTTCTTTATTCTAATCGGAATTCTACGGGGCTCAACTTTCAGTGGGAGCACAGCCATCATTTTTAGAGGACTGATTTTAAAATTTGTAATGGAGTCCCTCGTTCTGACATGTAAGTAAAAATATCAACAAATAATTAAAATATACTAGCAAGGAAATGAACCTTGTGACATAATAAATAAAAATAAATATAAACGTATGTTCATAAATTTGGGCACCATAGGATACCTAAAATAAAGCACAATAAAATACAAAAAACATAGTGTGAACCTTTAAAAACAAATATATGGCGAAGGAATGCGGTCAGAGTTTCACTCACATGGCCCAGAGCTGTACCAGGCTCTATATTATGTGCTCTAGGGTGCCACAAATGGTTTAAGGATCCAATGTTCCTAAGTACTGTATGAAGGATATTCATTGTTTTTAAAAGGATCAATTTATTAAATAAAATCTAACAAAAAACATTATAGTTAATATGGGTACTGTCATACAGTGGTAGTGGGAGCTAAAATAGCAAAGTCCACAGTAAGTTACACTCACCACCTCCCAGTAACCCAAGAAATATAAAGTCCATGTAGTAGAAAATAAGGAGCAAACGCGTTTTGACAGTATAGCCTTCTTCCAGTGCAAAACATATGCATTACTGTTCAGGATTCAGACTGAAATAGTTGTAGATCATTAACATTGCTGCTGTTTTATCCTACAATGTTCAATTGTTTTTAATATATTATTAAAAACAATAAAAGAATAAATAAATATAAATAAATAAAAAATGGGCAGTCCAATGCATTTCACCCCCTCTTGGGATTTCCTCAGGGACCCAAACATTGAGATAACATAAGAATAAAAATTGCAAACATATTCCAAAAGAAACAATCAATATGTCAGAACTATATATCTACTTAAATCAGCCCTGCGCTAAGATTAGGGCCTCCAGCGCTGCATCGAGTTACAGTTTAACTATACTACGTGTGACATTACTCACCGCACAATATGCGATTTGAAAATATGATCTGCACATGGAAACAATGGACAGGTCATTCCCACCACAAAAGTATCTGTTAAAATGTGGTGAGATTGGGTAGGAATATGAGATCGACATAAATCATTAAAAAATGAATTAATGTATTTTGGTGTTTATTCACTAAATAGCAAGCCCTAGTGATGAATATACGTGCAAGATTTAGTATAAAATAGTCTAGCTAGATAAAATTTTAAGTTAAGTCATTTTGGATCTTGTGCAACTTTGACGTAACTTCTCCATTTTTGGGGGGAGTATTTTGTTGGTTGGTTGTCATACCAATCATGGACAGACAATAATATCGCTGTCTAGCTAGATTTACTACCATGCAATATATTTCTGCTCACCGAGGGGGCCTTAGTAAATTCAATGAACGCAGCTGTTAACTTAATGAATTTGCACAGTTTTTCACAGTTTGAGGACAAAAATGAAGAAGCCCCGTTTGTCAATTTGCATTGGTTACATGCAGGGAAAACTAATTTTAGCATGAAATAGAACAGCATTTAATCCTTCTGTTATAAAAAGACAGCACAGTCTGCTGATATTCCTTCAGGAAGTGGGACAGCAATCCCTTCTCTGGTGACATATCGGACTCTTAATAAGTTCCCTCTCCAGTGTCTTATTTCATGAGAGCAGCAAGTTTGTACTTACAGGAATCCCCGATGCTCCAGGTCTTTTTAATAGTCAGTTAGAGAAAAGGACGTATGCCAACCTGACTTGTGTGCCAAAAGCTGGGCACAGGTGACCAACTGGGGACAGTGGGACAGAAGTTGCAAAGCATAATACAGATTAAGAACAGCGCTTTGTGACAATATCCCAATGAGTGACACCAAATAAAATGACAAATACTCAAAACACCTTATGTGGGTTTTCCCTTTATCCCCACATAAAAACAGAAATATACATACGATATAAGGTGGAGTATATATACAATAATTCTTCCAGTGATAGATGAAATAAAATTATCCTTGTAGGAGTTATCTCTAAAATATAAACATAAATAAAAATAAATAGTGCAATATAGCCAATTCACGGTATAGTAGTGCAATATATATGGAAGGTAAAGCACTCACAAACACGGAGCCAATGTAAAGGCTCAAGGATGTAGCTCTGTGGGTACTAAAGGGACCCACTTCCTTCTTGCTACTGTCTGTACTATCCAAGTATAGGATGTCCTCTCAGGATGTAGCAAAAATAAAGTACTTTATTTGAAAGTGCACAACAGTAACATAAAATACATTAAAATAAATGGAAAACCTTACAGTCTTGAAGGTTGGTCCTTGTATAAGGTGCAAAACGCGTTTCGCCTAGTTTGGAGGCTTCCTCAGTTGCTGGCTTGTGTTGTTAGGTGATTCATTTTAAATGTCCTCCCCTTTGGCGGTCTTTTTCGGCGTTTCTAGCCATCCGTGAGTTCGTCCCACTTCCGCTTCTGGTTTCGGCCTTTGCGGTCCATCCATGGAACGCAAGCGTCACGTGACGCGCGGGCGTCACGTGTCACGCTCCTGAACGTTCACATGTGACTCAAAGCTCCGGTCCTCCAGAAAATAGTCTCTCCCCAGATGGGTTCATATCACAGTCTATCTCAAAATAAATATATTCCATATACTTCCTATGATATGTTAGTCCTTTTCCCTCTTGGTAAATACATAAGGTTTTTAGTCTCTTATGACAGTATGTTAATTTATAAAGAACAAATAGCATCACTATGAATAAATTAGGACCGGATAAAAAATTATAATATTTTAAAATTATAAGGAATTAAAATGAATCACCTAACAACACAAGCTAGCAACTGAGGAAGCCTCCAAACGAGGCGAAACGCGTTTTGCACCTTATACAAGGACCAACCTTCAAGACTGTAAGGTTTTCCATTTATTTTAATGTATTTTATGTTACTGTTATGCACTTTCAAATAAAGTACTTTATTTTTGCTACATCCTGAGAGGACATCCTATACTTGAATACTACAGACAGTAGCAAGAAGGAAGTGGGTCCCTTTAGTACCCACAGAGCTACATCCTTGAGCCTCTACATTGGCTCCGTGTTTGTGAGTGCTTTACCTTCCATATATATTGCACTACTATACCGTGAATTGGCTATATTGCACTATTTCTTTTTATTTATGTTTATATTTTAGAGATAACTCCTGCAAGGATAATTTTATTTCATCTATCACTGGAAGAATTATTGTATATATACTCCAGATTAAGAACAGTGCACATGTAAAAATACAGTTTTAAATATTTTTAGGAAGAAGTTGCAAATCGGGATTATCCCATTTCATCTGGTACATAATACGTACAGTACATATTCTTTCACACACTCAAACACATACCCCAACCATGGTGTATATAGAAAACACCTGGTAAAGAGAGGAATTTGCTCTCTTTTCGCACAAATGGGTCTACAGCCCTTTAAATCGCAATCCATACTACTCGAAAGTACATTCAATTAACAGAATGTGTCTGCTGGATAAACCAACGAAAGTTACATTTTGAATCGCTTGTATTAATTCCAGGCTACGGATAATGTATTTCCTTGATTATGCTTGAATTATTCTCATAGTTTTGATAGTCACTTGGCTAAATTCTCTGGAGATAGGATGCAGAATTCTCCAACGATTTGTTGTAGATGTTTGTCTTTGAAAACAAGTTAAATGCCTCCGTTGGGACCCGGGCTTCCTGCTAGGTTTTGTACTTGCTTAAGCCAAGAATTAGAATTCTTTATACACAGAAATTGCCTGGAATAATCTACAGGATTAATAATTACATGATAACGTGCATTTAAAAATAATATGTATTAAGTCTTTTAAATCAAAATCAAGGGTTTTGTAAGAACTATTTAGGAAAGCCAGTTACCTATCTAAATAAACTGATAGGATAAAATATAATAAGTTATATTATAGTAACGTATTATCGTATGGGAAAGTATTCTTATGACTAGATTAAAATCTCTACTAACACACTTTAGTAAATATCACTCTTTATTTTCTTATAATTTTTCAAGCACTTAAGATTCTTGAACAAGGCAGAGATAAAACATAATTTACAATTGACCCTAAAAGAGACACTAAAAGCGTGTTTACGTGATCCGATTCGTGACAGCTCTTTGCTTTGTTCCATTAACAAAATCATTTCCTTCATTCATTAATATAATATTTCCATTAATATGTAAGTTCTGAATTCATTCATTCCAAAGATTTCCCTTGATACATATTGCTTGCTTGATGTTGTTCCTAGACAAGTACAAAGTAACTGCTCTTTAACTGATCCATTTCATTACCTATTCTATTCATTTTGTGGGGCACTGGAAATACGATTGTATGAAAGACATCTTAAGAAGACTGGACATCATAAACATCCCCCAAATCTGCTACTCATTTTATTGTCTAAATTTAAATATTTACATCACAACAATTCAGTTGAAATTCTAATTGTAGATTTAAAATTCCATTGCGTTCATAATGTCATTGTGTATAATGAAGATGCTAGGGCAAGCTTAAAGGGACACAATAGTCACCAAAGCAACTTTAGCTTCATTATTATTATTATGTTATTATTTATATAGCGCCAACAAATTTCGTAGCGCTTTACAGTGGGTGGACGAACAGACATGTAGTTGTAACCAGACAAGTTGGACACACAGGAACAGAGGGGTTGAGGGCCCTGCTCAATGAGCTTACATGTTAGAGGGAGTGGGTTAAAGTGACACAAAAGGTAAGGATAGTATTAGACTAATGGCAGTTGCAAGAGAGGAATCAGTCGGGAACTATTAACAGTTTAATTGATAGGCTTTTATGAAGAAGTGGGTTTTTAATGATTTTTTGAAGGAGTGGAGACTGGGTGAGCATCTAACGGAGGAAGGAAGGGAGTTCCACAGGAAAGGTGCAGCCATGGAGAAGACTTAAAGGCGAGCATCAGAGGTGAGAGTACGGACAGAAGATAGACGTAAGTCTTCAGCAGAGCGTAAGGGCCTAGACGGGACATATTCATGAAGCAGTTTTAGTGTATAGATCATTCCTCTGAAGTTTCACTGCTTAAATCACTGCCATTTAGGAGTTAAATACCATTTGTTTCTGGTTATGCAGCTCTAACCACACCTCTCCTGGCTGTGACACAGACAACATGAAAACAAAATGGTTTCATTGTCAATCAAATGTCAACTTACTCTAAACGTATTCACCTCCTACTCTGTAAATTGAACTTTAATTACATATAGGAGGCACATGCTGGGTCTAGCAGGCTATTAACAGAGCAAAAGATAAGTAATTTCTAAATTAAACATAATTTACAATAAAGGAAGTCTAAACATTAGATCTCTCTTTATAGGATGTGTTTAGGAAGGCTGTGTAAGTCACATGCAGGGAGGTGTGGCTAGGGCTGTATTAACAAAGTGATTTAACTCCTAATTGGCAAAGAATTGAGCAGTGAGACTGCAGGGCCATGATCTATACAACAAAACCACTTTATGAAGCTAAAGGTGTTTTGGTGACTATAGTGTCCTTTCAAGCTTGTGTGGATCAGAACTAGAAGACTTAAATTATTATTATTAATATATTATTATTAACAATAATATATTATTATTACTATAGCACCAACATATTCAGTAGTGCGGTACAAATATAGAATGGGGATATTTAGAGGTAAAGAAGGCCCTACTCAAACAAGCTTGAAATCTATGAGGATTTGAGGTATATATATATATATATAGGAGTCTTGTCTAAGGACATTTACTGTTGAAGTGGTCAGAGCGCAATACAAACCCGGGTTTTTCCAATTCTAAGGTGATAACATTAACACAGCTCTAACCAGCCGATATATGGTAAGTATGGTATTACCTAAATTTCTATTTGAATTTATATGTTTTGACTTGCAAGCACACATTCTCAGTGGCAACACCTGCAAGTCCCTACACATCAGCACTAACACACTTATATGAGATCAGGTAAATGTGTCACTGGCAGCAGGTGATGTTTTAAAGGAACACTATAGTCACCTAAACAACTTTAGCTTAATGAAGCAGTTTTGGTGTATATATCATGCTTCTCAGTGTTTCATTGCTCAATTCACTGCCATTTAGGAGTTAAATCACTTTTCTGTTTATGCAGGCCTTGCCACCTCTCCTGGCTCTGACTGACACAGCCTGCATGAAAAAAAAAACTGGTTTCACTTTCAATCAGATGTAATTTACCTTAAACAATTGTATCTCTTTCTTTGTAAATTTAGCTTTAATCACATACAGGAGGCTCTTGCAGGGTCTAGCAAGCTATTAACATAGCAGGGGAGAAGAAAATATAAATTAAACAGAACTTGCAATAAAGGAAGGATAAACTTTAGATGACTCTTTACAGGAAGTGTTTCGGAAGGCTGTGCAAGTCACATGCAGGGAGGTGTGACTAGAGTTCATAAACAAAGTGGTTTAACTCCTAAATGGCAGAGAATTTAACAATGAGGCTGCAAGGGCATGTTCTATACACCAAAACTGCCTCATTAAGCTAAAGTTGTTTTGGTGACTATAGTGTCCCTTTAAGGTGATGGGGCATCAAAATCCTCCCCCAGAATTTTACTATTCCCCATATAGTACAGAGATACTCATGCAATATAGAGAGCTGGGTGTAATACAGAGATGCCCATACAATAAAACAAGCTGGGCACAAAATAAATATATCTATAAAATACACACAGCTGGGTACAATACAGAGATAGCCAAACCACAAACAGAGCTGAGAAAAAAGTAGAGTTACAATACACAGAGCTGGGCACAATACAAAGATACTCATAGTCTCCAACAATTTCACCTAGTCCTGATTTGGTATTAGCATTCGACACATAATCTACACAGGGTTAAAAGGAGCAGGACCCTGATTGACGCCATATTACCGGAGCAGATGGCAATATAATTACTATGTAGTGGTAATACGGAGCCAAGGAATACTTGACATGGTTAACATAATCAAAAATTATTACAGATTAAAATCAGAATCAGATCAGTCCTCAGAGTCACAGCCCAAGTCCTGCAGTTTGAAGCATCACAACTTTTCAACTAGCTACAGCATGAGTGTCTCAGGTATCCGCAGTAGAGTGGCTGAGCACTTTAAATAAGATAGTGGGTATGTGCAGTAGGAGTTAGTAAAACTATTAATGACAAGCAGCATAGTGCTCTGTGTGAAAAAATGTTCCCTTCCCCTTGTCATCCCTGGACTTTCCTTGCTTTATCTATATTAATTATATATTTGAGTAAATTCCATTGAATAATCAGCCCTCATGCAGTCACTGGGGCTATTGGGGGAGAGAAAAAGTTAAAGGCACACTATAGTCACCTTAACAACTTTAGCTTAATGAAGCAGTTTTGGTGTATAGAACATGCTCCTGCAGCCTCAATGATCAATCCTCTGCCATTTAGGAGTTAAATCCCTTTGTTTATGAACCCTAGTCACACCTCCCTGCATGTGACTTGCACAGCCTTCCATAAACACTTCCTGTAAAGAGAGCCCTATTTAGGCTTTCTTTATTGCAAGTTCTGTTTAATTAAGATTTTCTTATCCCCTGCTATGTTAATAGCTTGCTAGATCCTGCAAGAGCCTCCTGTATGTGATTAAAGTTCAATTTAGAGATTGAGATACAATTATTTAAGGTAAATTACATCTGTTTGAAAGTGAAACCAGTTTTTTTTTCATGCAGGCTCTGTCAATCATAGCCAGGGGAGGTGTGGCTAGGGCTGCATAAACAGAAAAAGTGATTTAACTCCTAAATGACAGTGAATTGAGCAGTGAAATGATCTATACACTAAAACTGGGGAATGATCTATACACTAAAACTGCTTTATTTAGCTAAAGTAACTTAGGTGACTATAGTGTTCCTTTAATATTACATACTTACATTTGGAGCCAGGAGCTGTGGCTGTTGCAGAGCTCTCTGTGTGTTATATCCGCTATGGCTTCTAGCTTCTCTATTCTGTAATCACTATTACCCCGCCCCTTGGTGCTATCAGCCAATGATGGCTCTGCAATAGAGAGGCAAATAGAATGTCTCCACTCTGGGGCTGCTGTCTCTGTTACCCAAATAACAACTTAATGAAAATTCCTTATTAAAGGACACTAGGCATGTGCAAAACCTGCTGAAACAGGGCAGATTTCTAACCAGCCCCATTGTTTTGACATTCCTAGATGGTACCAATGAGGGAGTAGGGTCCCTGCAGAACTGAAAGCGTGAAAGTGACACCATTTTTTTCCCCATAGTTGTTTGGCTTACTGCCCTCCCCATCCAGAAAAATAATTTTAGCGTTTCTAAACTGCTGCAAATAAATGTTTTCCCCCTTTTAAAAAACAGAGTTAAAAATAGGTTTCACAACATGATGAAAAAGGTGGACATAAACCAGTTGTGACACTAGGTGGCGTTAGCATCCCACAGATTTTCTCATTAATGATGTTATCAGACAGATACTGCATGGCTCTTGATCAGTTCCTCTCTATGTTAACGCTATACCCTGTACCTACCTGCAGCTATATTCATTGCCCAAACCTGCCTTGCCCTTGAGGTGTCGGTAGGGAAGAATAATCAGATTAAGGCTCGTAATGGGACGGATATTACGCTGCCCTGCACATTCGCATCCTGTATTGGGTTTGAAGATGTGACGTTTTCCTGGACATATAGGACAGACAATGACACATTCAAGGCAGAAGAAGTGAGTATATACTGAATAAAATACACAAAATTAAATCTGACAAAAATATTTAAATAAGTGAGCGAATTAAAAAAAAGAAAAGTTTTTCCCTTTTGTACTTATACTAACTTCGACACCTGAAAAAAAAATAAAAAAAATAGTAACTCAGATTGATTTATTAGTCCTGATTATTAAAAATCCCCAATAAGTCTAGGATTGCAATTCAATTTTGGAAGTTATTGCTTTAATCGACTTTAATGTTACAACCCTGACCTATTCACCAAGTCTTACCTGATTCTTCTTTGAATGTGTAACATTATCCCCAAATAGTTTCAGGAAATCTTTTCTTTACCCCGTTCCTATTTTTCCTACTTCACTAAACAATTTTCTTCTCCATTCCTCTTTCAATTTCATTATCTTGCTATACCTTCCCTGTTGAACTTTTCCTGAATCAATCTGTGCTATATTTTCACCCTACGCCATGACAGTTTTGTTCCTCCGGTTTCATTTACTACTTTAATATCTCTTTTCCTTACAGCTCTATAAGGGGACCCTAAAAAACAAGAAGTCAATGCCCAAGTCTGTGCCAATTCTAAACATAAATGAACGGATGGATCGGGTGGAACTGATTCCTAGCAACAACACCAAAGATTACAACTTGTCCTTGATCTTGAAGAATGTCGATTTTAGTGATGCTGGCCGGTATACCTGTATAGTGACTAACAAGAAGGAGAAAAATGCTAGCCATAATGCTACCGTGTACCTAACTGTGGTGGACAAGTGTGAGTGTCACTGGTCTGTTCCATCAGGGGCAAATTAAGTACTAGTAATCATGTCCTCTCTGTGTTACAGAGGATTCTTCAAACATTGCAGCAGAAAATACGTTAAGAGCGTAGAGGTTAAAAACCCCAAAGTGGCCTAGCAAAGTGATCAAAGCAGGTTAACAAGTTGTGTTTTAGAGAACAGAGATGTTCTTTTCTAAAACACTTTGTTTTTATAAAATATGAATGGGATACGGTATGAAATAGTTGAAAACATTTGAACAGTGTTCCATTGTAGGTGGGTATTGTTATGGAAGCAAACTCTCACACCTCTTGGATGCCTCTAGTGAGTGTTGTGCTATGTTACCTTGGACAGCTACTCACTCCCATGAGAGCAAGCCTCTCGCCTAGTCACTACCGACCATGTGACTAGATGATATACCATCCCGCTCAGGCTTGTCCAGTTTATGTACATTATAAATCGATAGATAGACCATGCACTATAATCAGGGGTAAGCAACCTTCGGCACTCCAGATGCTGTGGACATCTACCCTGATGCTTTACCAGCATTATGGCTGTAAGAGCATCGTGAGAGATGTAGTCCACAACATCTGATGTGAGGAAGGTTGCCTATCACTGCACTATATATAAGTAGATAGTCACTGTTTAGAAAACCCTGTACAGTACAGCTTCCGTGGGTACCTATCAGGGCAGTTTTAAGGTTGTTAGAATATTCTGCTCTGTATCACTGGCCTATAGTATAATTTGTTCATTTTATTAGTACATTTTCCTACACCTCTTGTTTCACTGTCTTTTCAGCAGCATTTGCTTCTATTGATCCAACAGAGATTGTTGAGGCCTGTTAAAATTGGCTCCATTCTTCTCTTATCAGGACTCTTTCAGGTCTACACTCCATTGTGTTTCCTGGCCTGTAAACACTGTTTTTATATAAACGCAGGTTTGACTCCAACAAATCAGTAATTGTTCCCACTGCATTCGGCATTGTCTGGTGTTTGTGAGTAAGTGGAATAACTAGTGAGGAAACCATCACCTGTTGCTCAGATTACTGATCAGATAGCACCGCATGTGAAGGGTCTTCTCATGGCTCACTAGTGCTCCCTGGTGGTGCTAGGAGGAAGGGCAGATTACTTACCGGGGAAATTTCTGCATCCCAAGCTGGGGACCAGAAACCCTGCTCCCATTAAATTATGTAACATATCTATTGTGAAAATGGAATGTTGAATTCGAGTCAATAAGTCTGAGAGCTCCCTTTTTACCTACCTATTGTTTTATGTATCTCTTTGTAATCCGTGGCACTGACCAGTCCACTACCTCTTGTTAATCACATCGGTTGATGTTTCATGAATTCTTTGACCCCCTGTGTATCACACCATCTCGTTTTTACTGAGTGTTGTCCAGTTTTCCTGTGTTGTATCAGATCATTAGACTCATATGATGGTTCAAAGTCTACTAGAATAATAGTCCCTGGCCTTATTACTGTTATACTAATTGTGTATACTAATGGTTCAGACTTTTGGAACAATATCATATGAGCACTTTTGAAATATCTCATTGTGTATTTCCTTGAACAGATCCACTAAATTTAGGACTTCACTAAACCTTACTGCCATCTACGCTCACAGTTTGTCTTTTAAACTCATGTATCATGTATCATGTCTTCCTTATTCCATTCTTTTTGTGCGTTTTATGCCAAACTATCGAAGTTTTGTATTTCATATGCTGACTCCATGTCTCCTTCTGCAGTTGAAGTTGTGGACAACACCCTAACTCTAATTATTGCTAGTGCCGTTGGTGGTGTGATTGGACTTCTTATATTAATTCTGGTCATGAAGAAGATTATTACCTTCATCATCAAGAGGAACCAGGACAAGAAGTGAGTATTGATGGGGGTGTATTTGTGTAGGAGGTGGCATTATGGTTGTAGGTGTGGGGTTGCATATTTATATGAAAGTTACATGCAGAAAGGGGAGTTGGGTCAGCTTTAGAACATGCATTCAGAGGAATCTAGAAGGTTGACTATCAATCAGATTTCTGGTAATAATGCAAAGATGTCTTATTTGCTTTTGTTCGTAGGAAGGACTGTCTTGTGAGCTCATCTGTCAATGAAAATACAGATAATGCTTCCAAACCTGAAAGCAAAGCCAAACCTAAAGCATAAAGTGTGAGATATTCAGAATATAAACCCACGACCGGCCTGAAATGGCAGAATGGACCTTGGAATTACCCCAAAGCTTGAGCGATTCTGCTAGAACCGGAACCTAGAAGAGTTGCAAAGCATCCCACATAGTAATTTCAGACACCTTCTAAACTAATTATACTACATTATAACAGTGAACTATGCTAGTATAAACATTGTTAATGGATTTATGTGGTGAATGCTCCTATACAATTCTCTGTAAACGTCAACCTGTGGGTCTTTTGTTCATACAAGGTGGGAGGGGTAAATATCTCATAAAAGTTGGGGAAGCATGGCATCATTACTGCAGTGTAACTGGATGCTTGCCCTCAACTAAACAGGTAATGTGGGGGAAGTTATATTCACTTTACACTCTATCCTTGCACCAGTTTTCTATGCATGAGACTGAGGTCTTGGAAGAACAAAGCCATCAAAGAAGCAGTTAAAAGGGCAGTGATCACAATTATTTTAACATAGTATTTGCCGGTTATATGTCACGGTGTAGAAGGGTACACCTTCGAATATATTTCAATTTTCTTTTCCTGTCCATTTGTATTTTTGTGAAGTTGATAGGGAAGAATTTGATGTATTGAGAAATGACGGAGACTGCAGTGATTAACTCTGAGGATGGTTTGTTCCCGTCTGCAAGTATGAATCATTATTCTGCCGGCTTTCATTGCTGCAGGGTTTGACGCCAAACATAGCTAAAGTCTCAATAGCTATTACTGCCGTACCTCACCCTGCAGACTGGCAATACCAATTGAGAAAATATTTAAGAAGCATTATAAATGTTATTATGTCCAGTCCTGGAAACAATAAGGTTTTTGATGCCAAAGATTTGGGACATTTTAATTTAACTTTTATTATTTTTTTTTGTACAGAAGTACCACACAAAGGCACAGTAGTGCAACTCTGGGGTTCACAAAAGGGACAAAACTTTGTGGTTAGAATCTGGTATTTCTGCCAGAATTGTTCTTACATAGAGCTTTTAATGGAAGAAAAAAAGTTTATTCAATTTTGTTAAGAACTTATATATATATATATATATATATATATATATATGTAGTCTTATGTTTCACACATAGCACACAGGGAAATCACGTTGGGTTAGAAGCCAATTAAGAATTCTAAATGTTCCGGAATATTATTGTGATGCAGCCTTTATTTTTTTTTTTTACATTACGGCCTCTTTAACCTTTCCTGATACATAATAAACTGTTAAACAATATGAATGTTTCTATAAAAAGCACACTATAAAGAACTTGGAAACGTAGCCACAATATTTCTAGCAAATCTTCAGGATCTCCAACCCTCACTAGTACAAGTTTTAGGATCCCTTCACGTACGCTTAGACAACTCTATTATTTATTTTGACTCATATTACTTGTTTACTCAAGATATTCATATTCAAACCCTTCCTGAAAATACTGCAATTTTATTAATGATAAGCTTTATTTGAAGCACATGAGGCTTTTACGTTATTGTCACGCCTTTGTGTTCTGGTTTTAGTCACACCTCTAATTCAGAATGTCCATGAGGACAGTACCTCTTCTCGAATTCTCTCTCTGCTATTTTTTTTTTTTCCTCCATTTTCTTTTTTTTTGCTGCCTGCATATAAAATGGCTTCTAGTCTATGACTGGGCAATTGTCCTCTCTGCAGTGTTTACCCTTGCGCTGTCCCTGCTTCCATGATGAATGTAATAAAATCTTAATATTTATAAGTTGTTATGTGTTACAGTCATCTGACTCCGGTTTTGGTTAAACATTTACAATTGCTGTCAGCAAGGGTTTTTGGTTGAATTAGGAACATCTAAGAACTGTGGATTGCTGGACAAAATAATCGAAGTGGTTGGTGTGTACTGGGATGTGTGGTTTCATTGTGTGACTGGATAGGTTACTGGTGATATCTAACGTGTGATATATGGAGCACTCCCTGTTAGACAGACTAGTAATCCTGTTGGCTACTTGAATAATTTGAAATCAGACAGACAGGAAAATAAATTTTTGGCTACTTTTGGTGCTACCTCAATTCAATTTAAAGGACCACTATAGTGCCAGGAAAATACTCGTTTTCCTGGCACTATAGTGCCCTGAGGGTGCCCCCACCCTCAGTGACCCCCTCCCGCCCGGCTCTGGAAAGGGGAAAGGGGTAAAAACTTACCTTTTTCCAGCGCTGGGCGGAGAGCTCTCCTCTTCCGATCCTCCTCCGTTCCGCCCCGTCGGCTGAATGCGCACGCGCGGCAAGAGCTGCGCGCGCATTCAGCCGGTCACATAGGAAAGCATTATCAATGCTTTTCTATGGACGCTGGCGTGCTCTCACTGTGAAAATCACAGTGAGAAGCACGCAAGCGCCTCTAGTGGCTGTCAATGAGACAGCCACTAGAGGCTTTGGGGGAAGGCTTAACCCATTCATAAACATAGCAGTTTCTCTGAAACTGCTATGTTTATTAAAAAATGGGTTAACCCTAGCTGGACTAGGCACCCAGACCACTTCATTAAGCTGAAGTGGTCTGGGTGCCTAGAGTGGTCCTTTAACGGGATGGCTGGTTTATGCTCAACTACACGTTAAGGAAACTGAAATGGTAAATACAGGCTTTTTATATAAAAGTTTCCACTTACTATTTTTTAGGTTATATATATTTAGAAGGAGGACATTTTATTTTTTTAATTCCCAGCTGTGAATTTCTATATTCTCGTTTTTCATCTATTATACAATTTTTTTTATTTATTTATTTATTTTTTTAAATAATCACCCCCTCCACATTTGTTAACTAGAAGGGCTAAAGAGAATATAAAAAAATCCTGAAAGAGTTGCTTCACCTTTAGGCTTCAACTCGGGTTTTACAATTCAGAGTTTACTGAAAGATTCCTGTGTGTTGCTGTTGAGATTATTTTGTTCATGCAAACCATTCTAGTAACAACTTTACAATTCACTTTTATATTAAAAAAAAACCACGCAGGCAAGTGATTTTTGGTTCAAAATAGTCAAAACTTAAAAGCAGAATAACAAAAAAAAAACAAAAAAAAAGTCACACACTTCAATGTAACATTTAATCATAAAAAAACACATATATTTACAAAATTTCACCTAAAAATACACCTATGTACATGCATGTAATTAGGAACACATTAGAACAGTGCATGGGGTTTGTGATGTACTTTAAGAACCCGAGCATTGTCTAGATATTTCTATTCAGAACCAGAACGGAGTGTTCAATCCGAATTTAATAAATAAAGAAGGTTTGATGAAGTGTGGGTGTTTAGGTTATAAACCAGATTCGATGAATGGGTAGTTCTAGAATCGTAGAGCGTGTTCTACATTTACTTGCTTTTAAAAATGCTCAGTTTTCCTCCATTATATATACACATAAATATAATAAAATTTGGCCCAAATCATCGGCCCAGTGTATATGTAACAAACATGCCTCTGCAGTGCGTGTCAAATAGACCAGGAAGAAATCCGCTAAATCTGGCATTAAGGAGATCACCGGTGAAGGTCCATTAATGTTCTGTAACGCACAGTCCCTTGGCATACCACTGTCCTGCAGAGAACAAGATCAGGAGGTAGCTTCACTGCAAATTGCATAAGATTATGTTCCTCTGATCCAGAAAGGCTTTTAGAAAGCCTAAAAAGATAATTAAAGTCGATTCTGGAAGGTTCACGACTCCTGCTGCAGAGAACAATATAAAACGGATTATAAAAAGGTAAAATTAACAGCAATTAAAAATGGTCATGTTTCTGCTTATTTTCTGCACTGTAATATTCCTGGAAAATCCGGTTGATGTGTATACATTCATCAAATGGCAAACCAAAAAATACGATAACTGAGAAATGAACTGTTTAATGGATGCAGTCAAATAATTTGCTTGCTTAGGTCTCTCACTGTGCCCAAGTGGCGGCAATAATTATGCACATTTTGAAAGTGGATTTGCATTAAATGCCCTGGCTCTGCCTTTTCAGAAGTCAAATGTGACAGATCAAAGTTTTGTTTATCAAAATGGATACACTTTTCAACAAAATTTAAAAATAGCTAGTTTCATATGCTGTATTTGACAACAACATTTATCACAAATCTGTTGGACGGACTCCTTTCCCCAGCTTTCTTCCTTCATATTAAGATACCCAGCATTACATTAATTGAAGTAAAGCAGACATTGCTCTAATACGATGCAAGCAGTGTCTCACCTTCATTATTGCGTGGATCCAATCGAGAAACGATGGCACCTTGGTGTACACACCAACTCTTCCAGGCCTTGCGCAGCCATCTCCCCAACTCACAATGCCAACTTGCTCCCAACGGTCTTCAAGGGATACCAAAGGTCCCCCACTGTCTCCCTGCAAAGAGAGAAGAGAGTCAAGAACAGAGGACATTTGATTTCATTCAAGCATTTATAAAAACACACGTTAAAACATGTTAAGATGATTAGAAGAATATTTGTAGCCAACTCTAGCTTAAGGCCTAATTCTGGTCACCCTTATCATGCCTATTAATTGGTAGACCTTGTAATCGACAATCACAGACAATGAAAAAGGTTGTACATAGAATATCACACAATTTTTTTATTTTTGCTCAAGTCTTGCAGGGAGTTTAACCACTAGTCTATATGTGACCGCCATTAGGTTCCAATGGCAGAAGTCTGGAGCACATCATTACGGTGAAAGAACAAGCTTCGTGATTTGTCATGTTGGAACAAGATATTCAATGAAGTACCTGGCAAGTATCAAGACCACCAGACACTCTCCCAGCACACAACATGCTTGGCAGGATTTGGCCATATTCATTGTTGCAAGTGTCATAAGAGATAACTTGGATGGAGACCTGCTGGAGTACAGTTGCTAAATCTGTAAATAAATTGAGAAAAATGTGAGAAAGATTTTTTTATTTTTTTTTTTGGGGGGGGGGGGAAGTTGGATGGTGAAGCAAGAGTGTAGGAACAATGATAAGGCAAGATGATGAGGAAAAAGAGACATAGAACAAGTTACTAAACTTGTAATGGCCAAACATCTAGATCTGGCCAGAGAGCAGTATCGAATACTTTGCTCAGTCTTTATCAACAGACCAGAAGATTAATGGCATTGCATGTGGTTCCCAACCCGTTGTATGCTAACTCCTAGGGGTGCAGTCCAGTTCCTATGGGGGTATGCATTAAAACAAATTAGGTAATGGTAGTCCTGCCACTCTGCACAGATTAGGAACTGTAGGGTGAAGGTCCATCGGGTGGCCACCTGATAGGCAAGTGCCATGAGGAGCCCGGTCATGTGCTGCTGTGCTTTACCAGCACAACTGGACCCCTTCTTATATGCCCGAGGTGCTGGGAGGAAGCGAGAGTGAGCCAGTCACTTCCTCCCAGCTGAAAGATTGCTGAGTGGGGGGGGATCTGGAGGGGGTTGGCAGACTGGGAGAAGAGCAGGGCTGAAGTGCTCTCTCTCCTCCTTAGGGAAGGGCACTTTAATGCTTCCAATCAGAGAAGGGGATCTAAATAGGGCAAGAGGAATTTGTGGCACACTGTAGCAACAAGTTTGGGCACTGGATGGGTAGGCAGAGGATGAAGGGAGTGGTACGATCAAGGAGTTAGCCCCTACCTCCCATCAGCCCCAGCTAGCAGAAGCCACCCTCCTGCACCCAAAATATAGGAAACTGCAGGATAAAACGTTTACCTGTATGTGTGTCAGTATCTGTACAACTGTCTGTGTGTGTATAAGTATGTCTGTATCTTCATGTGAATATATGTATGTCTGTATCAGTGTGTGCATCTGTATCTGTGCAGGTGTGTATCTGTATCAGTGTGTCTGTGCAACTGTATGTGTGTTAGTGTGTTTGTATCCATGTACCTGCGTGATTGTCAGTGCATGTATCAGTACATCTGTATGTGTGTCAGTGTGTGTGACTGTGCAATTATATGTGTGTCTGCATGACTGTCAGTGTGTATCAGTTTGCCTGTACATATACATGTGTATATCTGTAGGTGTCAATGTATCTGTGCAACTTCATGTGTGTCAATATTTGCATCTGTGCATCTGCATGTGTGTCACTGTGTGTGTGTGTGTGTGTATCTGTGTGTCTGTGCATCTGGATGCGTTTCAGTGGGGGTAGAGGAGAATCTCAGGGAGCCTGGAGCAAAAGAAGAGCAGGAGAGACAGGGGTAGGAAAAAAAACAAAAACAAAAACAGCACATACATTTGAAATAGCAGCAACTATATTAATTACAAACAACTTGCTAATATGAGGGGTACAATTTATGGAAACTGGCTGCCAAGGGTTCCCAAGTGAAAAAAGGTTGGGAAACATTGATATAAGTCAATTCTGCATTTCCTCTGTGTAAAATCTCAGCGTCTGTCCAGACTCATTATATACCCTTTATCATCCGTAACGAGTGGGTGCTGAATTATTACGGATTGTGACTGAAAGATAAGATGGCTAGGTCTACAGTGAGGGAATGGAGGCTAGAAGAAGAAAGTGCAGTTTGAGATTTAGAGACTATAATGGAATTCAGAATATCCGGTTTCTTACTTCCTCCTTCTTGTGTGTCACCCCAGCCAGTCACCCACAGCACCGTAGCTGGCAACAAGCTGATATCGAACCCAGGAAGACATATTGGCTGAATAGAAGCTAGGAAACAAAGTCAACGTATTAAATCTTGCATAGACTTGCTTGCTTTGTGTAACATTTTAATATATCCATGAATGCCAACTAGGGGGTAGAATGTAAGATTACCAATCTATATTTTTACTATACAAAATATTGTAGAACCAGACCATCACAAGTCGGATTAAAAGGAACGCTGATCTGAACAGCAGAAAAATTTGGTTTGGCCGAAACTATTTGGATTAAAAAAAATAAATAAAAAAAAATATATATATATATATATATTTTAAATTTGATGGATTCAATTTCGTGGACAAGGAAGTTCGGCTTATTCAAATCTAAAAGTACATGTGAGTGCGTTGGAGGGAGGTGGGTACAAAACTATTTGGATTAACCAAAAGAGCACAAAAACGGACAAGTGTACTTCAAAATACAAACGTATATATTTAGCAGAACACTAATAGGCAGATTTTTCTACCATTTGGTTAAAAGATCAAGTGAGAAGTTGAAAAAAATAATAATAATACATCATTTAATTGTATTGCTCCACCTTGCAGACTGGTCATGCTTTACTGAAAATAAAAATCAACATTTGGTGGCTGAACCCATAACCATCAATCACCTCTCCCTTTTTTCTTTTTTTTAATAAATCCACCAAGGCATTAGTTAGTACATGTTCTGCAACACTTCGGTGCCACAAGTTCAATTCAGATCATCTAGACAGCAAAGGACATACTTATCATCCACATAGGAAAGCATTGGTCCAATGCTCTCCTATGGGGAAAGCCTAATGCACCCGGCGCTTGCTGCGTCAAAGGTGGTAGAGACAGGTAAGTGATTAAAGGTTAACTTAACCCTTCGATTGCCACAGGGGTGGGCAGATCTGCAACACTTTAGGGTCCCAGGTTCAATTCCAGGTAAGATTAACGCAATCTTTAATCAAGGAAATGATTACAATAAATTTAGGAAATATCATCTAGACTGCAGGACATACTTTAAAGCTTGTAGAAGCTAAACATTCTTTTCCTTGTTAAATACTTTGCATATTGTACAATGTGTGAAATAATCTCTCAAAGAGTGCTTTTTCAGTATAACTTAACACTATGTATCACCTGAGAACCGAAGATCGCTCTTGAGTTTCATCAGGGCTATGTCATTTGGCTTTTGATCATAGTTGTATAGATTGTGAACAAAAATTCTATCCACTTGCAAACCAAAGAGGAACGAGAGTTTTGTTAAACCCACTTGGATTCGCCACCGGTCAACCTGCTCCTGCCCCCTGGGGGTAAAACAGATGTCATTTTAGTTTTAAACATATTTTTTAAAAAATATTATATTCTATGCTAGTACAGAATTCTATCTACAGAATTAGTCTTTAAAGATTCTCAAAATAAATACTTTTTTAGAAATATTTGCTTTGTTTAATGATATATTTACACCGCATTTAACAGCATGTTCCTTTCAATTCTTTTTATTCCATAAGAGAACAGAAACCCATTGTTCAGCCCAACTACACTCCGAATGGTTAAACACATTTGAACCATGGTTGGTGATGTGTGCATAGATGTAGCTGGCCTGTAAAATGTTCACTTTCTCTGAGACTCACTTGAAGCAGTGCGCTGCAGTGAGGATCCAGTACTGGTTGAGCACACTGCCGCCACACACGTGTTGTCCCATGTACTGAAGGCTGAGCTGCCAGGGCCAAATCTCAATGGTGGTATCACTGCCCCCAATGATTCTCTCCTGCTTGTGGATGGGACCACATGCTAAAATAATTACAAATATGTAATTCGGGGGGGGTGGGGGGGAACAGAATGGAAGAGGGGGAGAAAATTAGAAAAAAGAAGTTAGAAATGCCAAGAAATGTGTGTGTGAAATATTGTAAATAAAGTGATATATGAAAACAATTAAGAGGGGTAATGAGGAGAACGCGAACATTGAGAGAGGGGAGTGCAAAGATGACAGGGTAGATTATTGGCAAAAAAACAAAAACAAAATAAACACAAAAATATATTGTTAGCTACATTTAACAACACAACACATTTACTATACTAATTTATCAATTTATAAACTATAAATAAACCCACGGATGGCATTTCTGGTTTTATAAATCTCTCTTTAACCCAGTCTTATAAAGTTTACCACAGGGAGCGGTCTACCAGACAGCCACTAGGGGCGCTTCCTGCATTCTCACAGAGTTTGTCCTCATGTCCAGCGTCTTGCAAATCCCCATAGGAAAGCATTGGTTCAAAGCTCTTCAATGGGGAAGGCCTAATGCTTGCGCGTTCCATTGCCCCTTGTGCGGACGTCAGAGACAGACAAGTGTTTAACCCCTTAAGGACACATGACATGTGTGACATGTCATGATTCCCTTTTATTCCAGAAGTTTGGTTCTTAAGGGGTTAAAGGTTAACAAAACCCTTTGATTGGCGTGGGGGTGACGGGTTGCTGTGGCAGGAGGACACTAGTATCCAAAGCTGTATTCCCAACCCTAAAGTGTTCCTTTAATAAAAGGCAGGATATAGAGAATAACACAATAGAATAAAAGCAGTAGTGGATAGAGAGATTGTGCCCTTTGACTAGAAAACACGTTTTACAGAGCTTTATTCTAGATTCACTGAAGTGGGACTGGGATGCTGGTAGACGACGTCAAGGCAAGAAATTTACTTTCATGAGAAGTGAGCGCATGTCTTACACATTTTTTTAAAGAAAAACGCCAAGCACCACTACAGTGTGCGATGTCAACCTAGCAATGTTTAGTAAATAAATCCTTATTGAAGGAGCACCTTGCACCCTTGCAATCACTGTAGTTGGTTGGTGGAATTAGGAGCAATCAGCATTCCACGGGAGAATTAAAACATTGAAATAGGAGGCTTTGGCACGGCTATTGTAACTACAGCATTATTAGACCAGAAATAATTAAAAGCTGTACAACTGGAATATCGATAAAGGAACACATTCCTCCCCCATGATACATAAAATCGAAAAAATTGATTTATATCCATCATTGTTAAAAACGTATAGGACAGAAATAGAAGGGCGTCCTAGAACAGTATTTCAATGTGAAAAATTTATGTTTGTTGGGATTTTTGCCCCAGTTGGGGTTTGACTCACCTGCACATCGGAGAGAAATAATTGAACCAGAAGGACAACGTCCCCTGAAAAGGACAAGGACACAATCAAAGACTTAAACAAAAACAAAAATATCACACCACATTGTTTATTCGTTCTTAAACTTTGTTGTCAGTGACAAAAATAATACACATGGTTTTAGGATCTCTTTTCAATGATAAAATGATCACAACGGCCCATTCGTCTACTTGTAAAGGGGTATTATAAGCATCAAAACAACTTGAAGCGGTATCGGTGTATAGATCATACCCCATGCAATCTCATTGCTCAATTCTCTGCCATTTAGGAGGTAAAATAAATACTGTTTTATAGCTTATTTAAACCAAAATATTAAAATGTGGCAGTCTTGTGTCTCTGCTTGCAATTTGGCTTCTGGTCCGGTGAGCCTTTCCTTCCCCTAGGATTAAGTATTTTAGACCAGAGGTAGGGCACCTTCAGCACTCCATATGTTATGGACTGGATGTCCCCTGATGCTTTGCTAGCATTATGGCTGTTAGAGCATTATGGGTGATGCAGTCCACGACATCTGGAGTGCCAACGGCTGCCTACCCATGACTTCAACACGAGAGCCAAGGCAAGACATTCAGGGTTAACACACAATTTAATACATACCCCAACGTTGGGATTACTTGCAACTCATTACTCAGCACTTGGACATTACTGAAGCCAAAAGCAGATGGGTTGCTCAAGCTTGCGATGGTCACAGAGGAGAAAACAGGGGTACTATAATAAAAAAAAAAAAAAATTTAAAAAAATGTTTTATCCTATTTGGGAATGCACACAAAGATAGAGAATATTTCTTCACATTTCTTTGTCCATTTTCATTTCTATCTATTAAGATTATGAATCCAGACCTCAGTGTAGACAAGAGTCAGAATACTCTACTTTTGTTTCTTCTTATATTTATCGTATACTTGCAATGCATTCAACATGATAATAACTCTAAAGACTACAGAATATGAAGTTCTTCCACTAGATGGCAGCAGACACTTAATGTTTTAGGGAACAAAGTATAGTTTATCTTCTTTTGCTTCCTAGATAAGGGAAATTAAAACATACGGTATCTTTGCATAATCGTACACTCCTCGCCAGCTAGGAGCTGATCAGAACAAACCAAATTTCAGCGCATGTTGGATGTCCCACTCCCAAATATAAAATAAAAACACTCTGCATATTATTTTTAGTCTTAAGGAATTTGTTATATTATGTATAAGGTTATTATAACGTATTTTTAAAAATATATATTATTAGAGTTTAAGACACCATGCCGTCCATGTGATCGTGAGGTCCTCACAAGGACCTCGCGATCACATGGCCCACAGGGGCCGAAGAGGAAGGAGGGGGACTCCCTGGGCTCCCAGGTAAGTCCCCATACCGTGATCACTGGCATGGGATTGCCGGCGACCGTGTAAGTACATAGGATGGCAGGGACGTTCTATGCCGCCCTGTGGAGTTTAGAGTCGCTTCCTTAAGGACGGCATAGAACGCCCTGAGTTCTTAATGGGTCGAGCACCAGACTTTAGTGAAAATGGAATTCCTAAACTAAAAAACAACTAAACTGTGATTATGGTGGAATTGAAAAGGTTTTACAAATTTGCCATTTATATCTATAGTTTGCATTTGGTTTAGTGAATAAACCCCCTCTTTTAAACACGGAAATCATCTCTCTTGGTGGTTTGGATTCTGAAATCTCAGAACATTTTTTTTGTTGTCTCATTGGGAGCTGCCACCATTTCACAAGGGATAATGTAGTCACCCGGAACACATTATCTCAATATAGTGGCCAGGGAGCAATGGCCCTTTATTTGTGAAATGTAAAACATACCAGTTTTTGAGAAACTGCGAGGTTTAAATTGCAGGGTTAAGTCCTCTTCTAGTCATAGGTGTCCGCATGGGGTGTGCCTGGGCACACCCTAATCCCGACAGCTTGCGCTGTGTGCCTCCATGGGCCAGTGAGGGAGATAAGAAATCTCCCTCACTGGCCCACAGGCAGGGAGGGAGGCAGGAGAGGACCCCAGAGGCTCTTGCCAGCAGCTCCGCAGGGTTCATCTTGCGAGGTCGGTGCGTTGCCACGGCGGTGTGTGTTTGTGCCACGGCGGCGGCGTGTGTTAGGGTGCACACCCTTATGCAATAGGTTGCGCATGCCTATGATTCTAGTGGCAGTCAATATGGAAGCAAAACATGGAAGCCCCATAGAAAAGCCTTCATTCATTGCTTTCCTACGGAAAAGTTTCCGGGTCCTAGGTTCCTAACGCTTCTCTGTATTTAGCACTGAATTTTCCATAGTCGGTGAAGGCAATGCTTTCTCAGTGACATCGTGGGACAAATACTCCCATATACGCCTCAATAATGGAAAAAGGTGTGTAAACCTTTCATTTTAATGCACGGGCGAGGGAGTGGGAGGACTTGAATATGAGTAGGGTTGTTATTCCGAAAGCTATATTAGTGTTCTTTTAACATCTACAGCACCCCAAGTCCAACCCAACACACTTACCCTACCCTCAAGGAGAAAACACCATCTTAATTTATCAAGAGATCTCCAGATTCCCAAGATGGCTTTTATTTTTCCTTAATGGGTAATGCTAAGCACTATGACCACTTCATTGATTTTAAATGGTTATTGTGCCCAGAGTCTGGAGTTTCATAAGAACGCTAAACATACAGAGTTTAACACTCATGCTGATAGAGGTGTAACAAGAGTTTGTGGCTGGCTCATAAATGATGTGCATACTGGAGATCTGTCGTCCGTACGCACAGGATGGTGGCATCCCCCACATGCCACCCTTTAAGCCCTTGTTTTCCCTACATCCTGCTACTGGCAAATAAAGGTTGTGACATCATTGGAGGGGGTACCTTATCAGCACTGAAATGCAGGTTTGTTTGTTAATAGTAAATATATAGATTTGGCCTGCACACACACACACACACACACACACACACCTACCTATCCGAGAGGGTTTCATTCACCTGAACATGTAAATATTATAAAACTATTACATTTTGTGAAATTGCCGTTTAGTGAATGAGGGAGTGTGATGTATCCTGTGAGTTCTCTGAATTTCAATGCCTTTAAAATGTATGCATTTTTAGGTGAGAGCAGCCCTTTTGAGGGTGGAGAGGTGGTGGGAGGGACCCACACACACACACATTCCATGGTTTGGTAAATTAAAATTATCTCAGCAGACCCTTACCTATTCTAAAACCAAGAATTCCTAATAGAAGAGCTTTAGGTTTGGGGTACATACCTTGAATATCCAATCTGTGCACAAACCGCCTTTGCTTTGCTGTTGTCAAAGTTGTCTGAGCAAACCCAGCTCCATGTTTGGGTCGATCTCACCTGGACCTGCAGGGCTGAGAACTGCTCCGAGAACCTAACTACAACACAAAATATACTCGGTCATCTTTAATTGTGCCTTGTGGTTTCATGAAGTTACAAGGATTTCACAAGTCACTGCGGTGGCAATGATAAACAACTGGTAATGCTCACCTATGGGGGTTGAATTGATCCCAACGTGTTTCACACACCGGATTTCATCTTCCCCACCAGTGCAGTCTTGGATCCCATCGCACAATTTGTCCAACGAGACAAACTTGAATGATTTGAGGCAGAAGAAATAGTAATTATCCAAGACCACCTTAACTGTGAAGGAAAGGAAAACTGGAATGTTGGTACTCCACTCAAAAACAAGCATTCTAAAAAGAATTTGATACATCATACTAAGCTCTCAAAAAGAAAGCATATACATAAATAAAATAAGTCCTTTTATCCATTAAATCACATTAAACGGAGAATGTTTTTGTTGAACATTACTAAGTGAATTATTAGATTATATCAATGCTTAATGGGAAAGTGTCAGACACCTGCTCATATTGTAAAGCTGATTTTTATGTTTCGTAGGACTATTGTGCTTGGAATCTGAGCATTATTGCCATTAGTTTGATTGATGTTACCCATCCAACTATATCCTCAGTTTAATATTTTTGGATAAGCTCTTCAAATTTGTTAAAAACAATATTTTTAAGATTTTACAATAAAAAAAAAAAAAAAAATAGGTTTTATTTTTATTATTTAGAATAAATATAAGGGGTCCATTTCCTCTAGACAAGACACGTCTGGACACTACACATTAGCTGTCCACTTCCTTGAGGAAACACCGGCACCAGGTAAGGAAAAATCGGTTTGTCATTGCTTGTGTGTCCCTATGCCATAAATGCTGGGAAATCGGCATAATAGTCAGGATCACATACATTTGTTATAAATGTGAGTGTGTAATAAGTATCAATGGACCAAGATTTCCAGGATTTTGCTTGATAACGTAACAAAACCAGACAGTGTGGCACATCAATGGACAATGTGTAAAGATCTCAGCTTGAAGACCTGTGTGGGTTAAAACTTTATAGAACATGAACTTTACTCTCGTGTTTTCATGCTGTTCAAATAAAATAAAGATTGCTGCAGTAACATGCACTTCAATATAAAACTTCAAACCCATTTATGGTCTACTCACTCAGAATGGCGATGACCACAAGGGAAGCCAAGACCAGTACTGTGGTTGTAATGGGGACACAGTATCTTCTGAGGACGGAGATTTTGCCTCTCTTGTAAATCACATTAAGAGTCCCTGAAGATGTAGGTCTGGGAACACCTCGAACCGGCCCAGGAGTGCGTGTAGGCCCAGCATTCCTGGATGCAGGAGGTCGTAAAGCTCCATTGGCTGCTCTAGGTGCCCGGATGGGTACTCCTGGCCGGGTATTTGGAGCCGTGATTCTGTGTGCAGGAGCAGCAGGTTCTGTGGCTCTTGCTGGTAGAGGAGCATTTGGGGTTTCCCCAATAGGGGCTGGAATAGTAAGGGAAAGTAGTTAATTTTCAATCGTATTACTTGAAATTAACAGCATGACAACTCCATCAATACACACATGGGGACTCGGGGAGTCTTACAAACAATGCTTTTAAAAAAAATTCAGTTGTATCACTTTTCAAAAAAAAAAAAAAATCTGTAACCTTAGTGTCTTTGAGATTTACCAGACCTCAGAACCGAGTGCACCAGAGTACGACATTTCACTACACTCGCCATTGTAAAAATACCCGATGCAAACCAAGCAGGCAGGATTACAGAGAACCTGAGTCAGGTGACACTGATCTGACACTCCTTCAAAATGTATCAAAGATGAACCCCCAAAGTATTTATCAAAGCAAATGTATGCAAAAAAAAATAGGATATATATCCTATCTGAACAGGACTGTCCTGCAACCACAATACACCATCTTATAACATCAACATGGATTGTGTCCAGTGTTTAGATTGTTTTCTTTTTTTTTGAACACTTGTAAGTTTATATAAATGCCAATAATTCCATCTGGACTGTAATCGTAGATTTAAACACGGAAGTTCCAAGAATTAGGACTCGTCACCCTGCTCTGACTGGCAGTATGAGGCTAAAATGAGTTTTGAGTGGCAGACATCTCCAGGGACAACAATAAAAACCACGAATACACATGCTCACACTAGAACTACATCGAGAAAACATAAAAACTGCCACCTATAAAACATCAAGCATGGTTGCTCAGAACTGCAAATGGGGCAGTTGTACATCTCAAGAGGTCTCACTGCAGATGTTCCGCAAAAATTACCTGTAAAATTAAATGTAGCAGGAAAGTTCACTTTAAAAAGGTTATTATTAACTTAAAGTACATAAATTGGAACTGTCGAGAAGGGACACATACAATTGTATTGTTTCAATCCAAATTACCTCCGGCCCAGAGCCAACACTAAAAATTATCTGGAGCCGGAAGAAAATATTTTTTTTAAAAAACCACAATAAATTTTTTTTTAAATAGAAATAATGTAACACTGCACAAATGCTCCTAGAATTAGCAGTAGGAATATACTACCTATTATCTGGAGCCAGCTGAGTAACGCTGAATTTAGCATACCATGAGTGTGGAGATCTAGGAGAGTGTATAGAAGTTAAAAGGTACACTATAGTCACCCAGACCACTTCAGCTCAATGAAGTGGTCTGGGTGCCATGTCCCTCAGGTTTTAACCCTTCAGATGCAAACATAGCAGTTTCATAAAAACTGCTATGTTTAAATTTGGGGTTAAGCCAGCCTCTGGTGGCTGTCTTCCGGTGCATATTATGCCTCCATCGTGCAGAGTGTCTATAGGAAAGCATTGAGAAATGCTTTCCTACTGACAGCTTGAATGCGCACGTGGCACTTGTGACGTCGGACGGCTCCGCTGACGTCGGCAGGGGGGGAGGAGGGGTCACCAGCGCCGAGGGAGCCCGGCGCTGGAATAAGGTAAGCTGCTGAAGGGGTTTTAACCCCTTCATCACCACGGGAGGGGGACCCGGAGGGTGGGGGCACCCTCAGGGCACTATAGTGTCAGGAAAATCGCTTTGTTTTCCTGACACTATAGCAATCTTTTAACATTATTACACTTTATCACCCATACAAAAGTATTGTAATGATACATGTGGTGTTTATAGATCAATAAAAATGTCACTTTGAGTGATATTTTAAGATCCAAAATCTTTTTTTTTGTGTGTGTGTGTGTATGTGAAGAATAAAATGTGTATCCTGGCTTCATTGCAATTTAAAGCAGAATAATGTGCTGAATAATTTTGTTGAAATGCAGTTTTTTAGCTAATCCATAAAATTTACCTCAAGCAGACAAGGACTGATCTTAGACGCAGCCATGAGGTCATAGAAGAGGCACGAACGTGAAACATACAATGAGTAATATTGCCATTCTGTGTCTTTTAAGGTAAAATGTCTTGTAAATATTTAAATACGCTTTACAATCAAAGGCAGTCCAACTAACTCCCCTGCATAAAGAGTCACTGTATGGCTTTCTATTTCTTATAGACTGACTCCTGTGATGCTCACGGTCTTATCAATAAAGAGAATTTAGACCAGGGGTGCCCAAAAGGTATATCGCCAGGAAAAAATTTTTGGTAAATCTACTGATTTAGACCATGCGTTTTAAGAATCGCAAATGCCTCTTCACTACTACAATGAATGCCACAAATACCAGGAAAATGAGGGACAAACAATGTATCTGGTGATCATAAGAACTGACAGAATTAATAAGACTGTAGTGGATAGTGGTCAAAAAGACTGTAAGCTCGTTTGAGCAGGGTCCTCTTCAACCCATCGTTCCTGTAAGTTTTCTTGTAATTGTCCTAATTATAGTTAAATCCCCCCCCCCCCTCATAATATTGTAAAGCACTACGGAATCTGTTGGCGCTATATAAATGGCAATAATAATAAAAAAAAGGGATGGTGAATTGGACTGATGAAGTGTAGTGTGACTTCAAAACTCTGCTGATAATTACCATTTTTTGGAACAGACCCCTCACATCAGGAGGGAATGCGGAGACAGGGACAGATTAAATTTTTTCCAGTTGGACCAAAAATAAGTCAACTCACACCACAAAAAAATAAATAAATAAATAAATAAATAAATAATAAAAAAAAACACCCCCAAAACCTTATTTAGTTTTGAGGTGCTTGACTGGTGGACCATGCTAGGAGTATGGAATTAAAAACTAATGGGTTTTAGTCATACATTTATGGTGATTGGGAGTTAGACTTATTTTCATGAAATATTTTTTATATGGCCTTTAAATCAAGGTATTTTTTTTATTTTATGCAGAACAAAATCTCTGCAGAGTTTTTAATCAAAAAAACACAAACCAAAAAGTTAATAAAACTATTTTGTGAGCCTTCTCTTACAACATGCCTTGAGGGCATTTTTTTCAAAATCTTCATTTTTTGTGGAAGTTGATTTGCAATCAGCAAAGAGCCATTAAATAAAAAAAAAAAAAAAAAAAACACCGCAGGACCCCATCTCCTCATGGTCATGGTGAGAAGTATGGTAATGGTGCTTCATTAATAGAAGAGCGAGGTTGTTAAAACTCTGGTCACGATGATGCAATGGCAGCACAGTGCATAATATATAGCAATTACAGCGTATAATACACCTGTTAAATTCAGCAAAGACGGCCGTGAGGGATGAGGACCCTGTGGACAGTTCAGCATGTCTGAAGATGATGGTACTTACTACCGCAGCCTCTTAAGTGCAGAGGAGTGGAACAGTATGCTAACCCACACATTGAAGTTGGGTTAAGAGGATCAAGGGGTGCTCCCTGACTTTACTCCCTAATCCCCATTTACCAAGCTTTCTCAGTGTTCCTGGCTTGGTTACAACAGTTTAATCAATCAGTCCTACAACTTTCATGACCAACCACAACATTTCTTATTTTTCTTCCTTTTGAATTCCATGTTAATGATTACAGACCTTGCCAAATATTCCAGGAACAAGATTAAGGCACGTTCGTAGGAAATTTACTACAGTCCAGCATCCTACCGAGTCAACATGACAAGTGGTTATGTAGGGAGAGTAGTATCTCTCAAAGTTTAGTGTTTTTACATTACTTTGCATCATGTGTGCGTTCTATAAAACTCAAATCAGTTTGTCATTTTCACATATCTACCGCTTACAAAACCTTGTTCTAAAGCCTGATCAAGTTTGCTTCTAGGTATCAATTTTTCAATATTCTTTCAACACAATTTACCCCGATAAGATGATCCATGATAGGCCTAGCCTTATCCTCTCATGTAACAAAAAATTATGTTTTTTTTAAATGTCCGTAACTACAGTCCTCTTCCAAACATCTACCATTCCACTTTCATTAACATGGTTTTTCCTCTTCTCCATTCCGTCTCTGATTATTAGCACACTACTATTTTAGATCTTGGCATCTTAAAGTAAATAAGAGTATGTTACACAATCAAACATCAACTACGTATAGAACATCCTGAATAGAGAGCATTAAGACGATCACTTTGGTCAAGGAGTTTTCATTTGTCCTAATTTGCTACGAACCACAGGATAAAAGTGTCCATTGTTATTCAGAAGGATTTGCTCAGGTGCCTGCATTGATCAATCAAGTGAACAATTAAAGCTTGAATCGGCCCATTGTATGAAAGCAAAATACAACTATAGAACAGTCAGGTTAACACCCTTACAATGACTGGAGACAATGAGGGCTTTATTATCTCTGCCTTTGATTTAATCACTTGTTCTTACCTGAAGATCTGTTCAGAGGAGATACAGCATCAGCTTCCTCCACCTCAGCACTCTGCAGAAACAGAAAAAGAGAAGGTCCTTGGATACATCCATATGTTTTGAAGCTAACAAACTGAACATAATTATGGTTTCCCAATTTATAAAAAGAATAAATAAAAAAAAAATAAACCCAGCAAAAAAAAAAAAAAGACAAATGTTACAGTTATAAGATAAGCCTTGATGTACATAAGAGGTGATTCCATACATTTATCCCCATTTCCCCATCGTACATCGATACACAGAACACAGGCGAGGTAAGTGGGGGTCTCATTCTATTAGTGCCATGTAAGTGAAGTGATTTTCAGTACATTTTGGGCAGAGGATGACAAAGTTATAGCACCTTTGTGAGTGTATTAAATGTATCCAGTATTGGCATTAGTCAGTACAAATGTTGATATTCTAAAAAACGGTGACACTCTTTAAGCAATAAGTACCATTTATTTGTTCGGATTATTTGCAAGAGGCTTTAATTTTCTATATTCCACATATAGAATGGCCAGAAACACAAAAGATTGAAAAAGTTAATTTAATTTTTATGTAGTGATTTTCTCCTGAAGGAGTCTCAATAGTACTTTCTCATCCAAGCAAATCAATAGACGAAGAGGTTCCAGATATTAGGTCTGCACGTCCATTGTAACGTTCAGTTCTCTAAAGCATTAGGCCTGGAATAATGGTCTGATTAGACAGGCCTTTCAGTTATAAGAAAGCCAATTATGACATTGATTTAATATTTTAGGATACTTTTTTTTTAAATTAATAATTTAAAATTGTATCCAAAATTATTAAATCATTTGAAAAGCTAATCCCAATTTTTATTTTTTTAATTTTTTTTTCATTGCGACCTTTTAGAGAATACATTTTACAGATTATTCTGAAAAAACAAAATAAATAAAACCACACACACACACCATTTCATATTCACTATTAAAAGCTATAATTGCTGGGGTGAGATTTTACTGATGATTTATGCTGCTTTTGTAGAAAATAATTTTGTATAAAATAATATAGTATTGAAATTGACTCAATATATGTTTACCATTTTCTTCTAAGAACACAATTAATCAGAACAGAGAATGTATCCAGATGTCAGCTGTGAGTATTAAAATGTCTCAGGGGAACTTGTACCAAGTCTAGGAAGGAGAGATTTGTTAAACCAAGGTTGCCAAGAAACAATGTATACAAATCGCAGTATCTCCTGTGTGCAGGAGAAATATCATTTTGAAGAGCATCATTTAGGCGTTGCCCTGTTCGAGATAGAAGCCAGAAATGCACCCATCTTGAAGGAATGAGGACCTTGATCACTTACCTGCAGATTCGTAAACAGAAAGGACTTTTTTTATACAGCAGAAGCAACGGTACTATTCACCAACAAGACAGGTAGGTGTGCAATACAATATACAAACACAAAGTTACAGAAAAAAAAAAAAAAACTCTACTGAAAAATATGTAATAAGTGTGTGGTTTAGAAGGTACAGGGTGCTCTTAAAGGAAGAGAATCTGTTCCCATAACAGATATATACATGTAATAAAAAAAAAATAAGAAATGATCCCAAGGCACACCATGGTTTTGCACATAAAAAGGAGTATTTATTCATGCATAGAAAATACAATAAGACATCACTATAGCAGAGAGAAAGTGCATAATATATAGTACCAAAACCACAATGTAAGTAAAGTGGTAAATGCAAAAACCCATTAAAAAGGTATACTGACCAAGAGCAGGAGAAATGGAACCTCAGAGGAAGGCTTCACAGCCGAAACGTTGGGGGGTTTCATTTCTCCTGCTCTTGGTCAGTATACCTTTTATAATGGGTTTTTGCATTTAGCACTTTACTTACATTGTGGTTTTGGTACTATATACTGGTTTAGCACTATACTATGCACTTTCTCTCTGCTATAATGAGGTCTTATTGTATTTTCTATGCATGAATAAATACTCTTTATGTGCAAAACCGTGGTGTGCCTTTGGATCGTTTCTTATTTTTTTATTAGGTGTGCAATACAATGTCAGATAAATGGTCTGAATCCTAAAGGCATAACATTGTTATGAAGTGCAAAGCATAAAGTTAAGGCCACTAGTGAATGACATAAGTTGACATGATGGATAAAACCCTGGGATGTGACATTTAGGGTCCCTGGAAATTACCCACTAACCAATTCCGATCTATCATCATGGTATCAAACCTGTATCTAGCTGAACTAATGAATGAAGAATTGTAAGAAGGTTTAAGTTGGAAGGATGAGTGGCTTCTTAAGAGGGCTGGAAGTCCCTATATAGAGGTTGATTACTCGACTGTGCGATTTCATGTGAAGGGCTTCTTCAGAAACAAAAAGAAGCCCTGGATGCATCTCTTTTTGGTTGCATATTAGCCCTGGATGTATCTCTCTGGTTGCATTTTTATCCATTGCTGCAACATCTCTGAACACACAAAGTTTGTGTCAAGATGCAGTTTAGATAACCTGCATTTAAAGAAATATTGATGCCAATATTTAAAAACGATTAAATATTGTTTTGAAGAACTCAACATAATCTAGAATAAAAATGGCCAGATGTCAGTCACCTTAAGGACAACACCTCACACGATCCTTTGCTTGCTGAAAGTTTTTCTGTAATAGTTGGGGATTACATTTTTGGCCATTCAGAGAGAACACATAGTTGTGTTTTAGATTTGGGTCTTGCTCAGTATCCACAGACAATGCATTTAAAAACAGTTTACAAGATCTGCAGATCTTATCTGTTTCCTTTGCCAGCCCTCCCCTTCTAACCCCGCCCAGACTTTCTGTGGCTGTCCAATCACAGACTTCCTAATGCAGTTCAATGAGAAGTATTTGCTAGGCATGTGCATTGAGCAGTTGCTGCCTCTTGAGTTTAGCTAGGGACAGTGACGTACATACTGGCATCGCAGGGGGTCACAGCGGCGACTGGGCCCAGCCCACCAGGGGGTCCGGCCATCCTGCGACCCGGTATGCACGCCAGGGTCATATTCCGGTTCCGTCATCAGTACGCGGCGTGCAAGGGAGCTGGGCAGAGAGCACTCAGGGGAGAGTTCGCCCTCGCAAGCCTGCCAGCCAGCCAACCCGGTGACCGGCCGCCCAGTAACACCACTGGACCCCAGTAGGGAGGCTGGGGGATTAAATAAAAATAAAATAAAATACATGTGTGTGTGTTAGAGTGTATGTGTTAGTGTTAGAGTGTGTGTTAGTTTCTGTGTCAGTGTGTGTGTTAGTTTGTGTGTTACTGTGCATCTGTTAGTGAGTCTGTTTGGTGTCTGTTAGGGAGTGTGTGTTTTGTAAGTGAGTGTGTATATGTGTATGTATGTCTGTCACTGAGTCTGTCAGTAAATGTGCGTCTGTTAGCTAGTGTGTATCTTCAGCACTTACCTTTCTCCAGCGCCGGACTCCGCCCCGAATGTGCATGCACGGGAAGAGCTGCGCGCGCTTTCAAACCGCCCATAGGAAAGCATTACTCAATGCTTTCCTATGGACATTCAGCGTCTTCTCACCGTGATTTTCACAGTGAGAATCGCGGAAGCTCCTCTAGCGGCTGTCAATGAGACAGCCACTAGAGGCTGGATTAACCCTCAGTGAAACATAGCAGTTTCTCTGAAACTGCTATGTTTTCAGCTGCAGGGTTAAAACTAGAGGGGCCTGGCACCCAGACCACTTCATTGAGCTGATGTGATCTGGGTGTCTGTAGTGGTACTTTAAGTGTATGTGTATTTGCATGCACTGGCGTAGATATGCAGCCCTGTGACCAGGTGACGGCCCTGGCCCGCGCAGAGTAAGTGCAGGGGGGGGAGGGCACGGATCAGTTTTCGCACCGGGGCCCCATGGGTTGTGTGTACGCCACTGGCTAGGGATACCAAAGCGACCATATGTTTCCAGGACACATATCATTTATCTAAATTGATATGTAACAGGGAAAGTGCTGCCCTGCCTTATGTAGAAGTCAAATGCTGCAGGTAGTAAATCAGGAGATAAGTCCATCAAGAATCTTGCAGCATATACAATATCCATTATAGAAGGCAGCTCTTCACACAATTCACTAAGCAAGCTCAAGAGCTTTAGCAGTTTGTAGTGCCCTTTTAAAATTGGGTATCCTGCCAACACAGGCATCATGGTGATTTTTTTAATAGTGTGACAAGTTTGTAAAGGGTTATAGTTCTGATAAACACTGAATGTTGTCCATTATGGCTGCCATGCACCCTCCTCTCCAACTTATTAGGAACAATTGAACGATATGCCATGCACAGTATGAACGTTTCTCCTGGTACTATTGTGTTGGTGCTAGTAGGCTGCAGACACCAACCCCTACTTCGGAGTCAACCATTTACCATTTAGACCTCACAGGTTCCATTTCTACATTAAGACATTCAATATTTGAACGGTTCTGATGGTCTGGCAAGCTCAGCATATCAATATACTCATTCTCGCTCTCATTTGAAGTCTCTTATTTTGGGCCCAAAAATGGAGGTGATTAAGACTTTTTTCTCTCCAATTTAGCCATTTTGGCTTAAATTGAGAAACTCACTTTGAATTTACCACAATTGACACTTTCATAAATAAACCGATGCAAAAGTGATTGAGTTATTTCCTTTACGTGACATGAACTCCCGGCCTTTTCCTCATTGCACATATTACATACTAACAATGTCCTCTTAACTCGATTTTGACATTTTCCCTCTCGATTCCCCTTTCATTGTCACACCAGCCTCCCATTTGCTTTTTATAGTTTAGGTCTCTTCATTGCCCAACCTTTCCTATTCTCTCGAAATGTGGTTAGACACGCTACAGACCACGGGTGTGTCCAAATAGCTAGGCTTGGTATCAAAGCATTGCCTCTATCAGACAAACAGGACACCAGGATCACAAAAGAAATATACAGACAGGTAGCAAACATTCAGATTCAAAGAAAGTCCTCTTAGAATCAGACACTAAGGGTCTGATTCTGATACAATAAATTAAAAAAACAGAACTGCAAAATGATTGATCTAATTGTATTCACGCAAGATCCAGCACACTCACTAAACATCAACTTCAAAGCTCACCAACCTATATACGTGATAGGAAACAGTGAGGGATAAATCTCACTTAAAACAACAAAGTAGATCAGTCCAGATAATGAAAAATTAAGAAGGTTAAAAAGTCATATAAAAGTCTCAATAATACGTTGGATAGGGTAGGGGTACAGTCCTCAGGAGTTGATCCGTCCATGTGGAGACAAAAAGAGGGAGAATACGACAAACAGACGATAGCGTAATATTGTAAAATCCAATGGTAAAATAGATAAAAGGAAGGTAATACACTCACATTTGTGAGAGCTTTAACCAGCTCTGGGGTGAAGGGCGTGTAGCGGTATAATCCCCGCTAAAAGATATACTGGAGAGGTACGTCCGTCACTCCGGCCTGGTAGAATCAGTGCTCCAAAATAAAAAAGACAGCAATAGTGCTCTCAGTATATAAGGACAGAGAAATAAAATATACTCACAAGTGTAGAGCAGGAGGTACTGCTCTATCAATACAGCGTTGGTGGAATGATCCCCACCTAGGATTTCTTGAGTCAGGATACAAAAAAGTGCCAGGAAGAAAAATAATAAAAAGTGCATATAAAATCCAATAAAATGAAAATTGGTCCTATAAAAGGGTAACCAAAAAGACTTTTATTGTTTAAAATACACAATTTAAAACCATTAACGCATTTCACCTTTAAGGCTTTTTCAAAATGGTATATATATATATATATATATATATATATATATATAAATAAACTTTTTTTTTTTTTTTAAAGACATCTGTCAGACGCAAACAATTAATTTTGGCGTGGTAGATCATTCCTGTTTTTTCCACAATTTGCACCGTTCGCAAAGCTTGAGAAACCTTGCTGATCTACTGCAGCCCATTCTTATTGATGGATTATAGTGAGCACCTATGCCGGTTTCTTTACACATAATTAAATTTACTCTGATCATTATTAATCACCATTTATGTAGCGCCAACAGATTCCGTAGCGTTTTACAATATTAATACATAGCTTAAGTCTGCTGCAACTACAATAAATTAAAAACATAACTGAAAAATTTGGGGAAAGCACTGCTTAACAAAGACAACTAAATAAAAAGGTGTACATATTTCTTCAACACTGGTATAGTTAAAGCTTGGCTATTTTAACCTTGATATTAAAATTTGGTTCTAGCGTTTAGTACACAAATGAAATCTGCATATTGCCTGGGCATCTGGGTGACAAAATACTCAATAATATAGCATATGACGTTAAAGGGGGATTAGTGTAATTATAGCTCATTAGAATAACCAGGACACACCTTTTTCTGACTGTGATGAACATTTTTGTTCAACAAAAAGACTGCTAACAATAAGCCTGGATTAGTTACGGAGTTCTGAGCTGCCTAAGTCACGTGTCAGGGGTGCAGCTTGCCCCCTGCATAAAAGTGCAAATATCTCTGTATGTACATTGTTTCAAGCAGAAACGCTGAACAAACAGATTCCTCCCACCATGACCACTTCTAAAAGCAATGGTTGCAGTAACCCTTAAATCAAAGCATTTCATTCAGTCATTTAAAGGCAAAACATGACGTTTAATGATGGAAAACACCTCTATTCAGTGTTTTTAATGTCACATAACACACTACTGTTTTAACTAGGAAATTCATATTCTGAGATCAGAACAGCTATTAGCAGAGTGAATTCCTTAGGGTTAAAGAGAAGGATAGAAGTTATTTCCTAAATTCCCCTGTGCAGAAGGCTGACTGGTAGCGGTCTCTAAGACTCTAAACAAACAAACTCTAAAAAAGTTAGGGGTTTATTCACTAAACAAAATTGTAGCAAATTAAAATTTGAGTTGCAAAACCCAGACGAAAATAGCCTAGCTGTGACAAGTTTGAAATGTTGTCCTAAAATTGAGTAAGTCAGTATTTAATGAACAAATCCCACAGCCTTATGGTTAAAGGGACACTCCAGGCACCCAGACCACTTCTGCCCATTGGAGTGGTCTGGGTGCTAACTCCCACCACCCTTAACTCTGCAAGTGTAATTATTGGAGTTTTTATAAACTGCAATAATTACCTTGCAGTGTGAAGTCCTCCTCTAGTGGCTGTCTATCAGACAGCCATTAGAGAGACTTCCGGGTTCTTTGAACACAAAAACTGCTTTAAAACGATGCTGGACATCCTCACGCTATGCATGAGGACCCCCAGCATCACAATAGGAAAGCATTGCCGCGCATGCGCATTAAGTCTCCCCCGCCGATGTCAGCGTGGTCGGAGCCTGACCCAGCGCCAAGGGACATCGGCGCTGGATTTAGGCAAGTCACTGAAGGGGTTTTAACCCCATCATCAACATGGTACAGGGGATGGGAGGGAGGGAGGGGTGCTTGTTTTCCTGGCACTGGAGAGTTATTTTAATACTGCCAGGTATACCATTCTGAATACATTGATTTCAGTGACACTATGTATATACAAACACACAGGGGAGGAATAATACACACACACACGGGACAGTTATACAACAATGTAATGAATATAATGTACGTACTGAAAATACATTAAGTGCATTATAAAATTTACTTATTAGAGACACAGTGGATTTGGGTGATAAACAAAAACAGGTCTCATAAATAAATGTGGGATGTAAGAAGCAAGCTAAATTGTACATATCAGGGGTAAAAAAGAAATCATCTTTAAAAGGAACACTATAGGGTCAGGAACAATAATATGTATTCCTGACCCTACTGTTGAAACCACCATTTAGGCGACTTGCCTGCCCCCCCTCCCCCGCTCTTCCCCTCCTCCCCCCCTCTTCCCCCTCCGCCTTAGTGCCCTCAGAAAGTATAAAAAAAAAGTTACCTTATTGCTGGCCTCAACCCAATCTGCCTCTTTAGCCAACATCATCAGGATTGATTATATCAGCTAATCCAATGATTTCCCCCAGGGAAAGCATTGGATTGGCTTAGATTGTCAATGATGCAGGGTGGGGGAAGGGCCAAACACCACCCTGGCCAATCAGCCTCTCCTCATAGAGATGCATTGAATCCATCTGAGGAGTGGCCACTAGAGGTGTCCCTAGGCTTTAATGTAAACACTGACTTTTCTTTGAAAAGACAGTGTTTGCATGAAAATGCCTGTAGGGAATGATGCAACTCACTAGAACAAATACAATAAGCTGTAGTTGTTCTGGTGACTTTAGTGTCCCTTTAATGAAGAGAGAAAAAGGCTAAACATATGGCATTGAAACAAGTAATGAATAATGCAGATGTTTACTTAAACAAAACATAATGGTTAGAGTACCAAGTATAAAATATATATATATTTTGATAACACCACCAGAGGGAGAAAAAAAAAAAAAATCAATAACCTATTAGTAAATAAGAAATAATATAGTGATACACAAAAGCCACTTCTTCTGTGCAAAAAACAGGTGACTGAATGATAAAAAACAAAATAATAATTTTTTTTTTTTTTTAACAAAGCATAACAAGTATACACACATTTATGAAACAAATAACTAAAAACATTAAATATCAGATATACAGTTCATAGAATGATTGTGGTACACAAGATGACCAGCCAAAGCAGTAAGCACTAAACAAACAGTGCCAGAACTAAGAAACTAACAGTTAAATAATAACGGGCCGATATCTTACCGTCCCATGTAAGTAGATCACTCCATCTTAAGGATCTCGAGGTCTGTCTGACATATTGTAGCATAGAGGAAGGTAAGGAGATAGACCACAAACAAAGTGTTGCATGGGATCATTTGGGTCGCAGAATGCCTTTTAACCCCTTAAGAACACAGCTTCTGAAATAAAAAGGAATCATGATGGAATATTTCCGTCATGTGTCCTTAAGGGGTTAAGGATAGTATTAGATACACAATAGTCAACTCCATGTTTAATGTAACGACATGTATTCCATTTAGAAGCCCCACATTTAAATGTACCATGTTTAGGCTACATTCCCTGAAGCCTTTTAATATTTAAGTGTTCTTGCATAGCAAGACCACTTAATGTTATCTCACATATATATTATTGTATAAAATATCCAGAATACATCCATATTGGATGTTAAACTTCGTCCCAAATACTGGTCCCATATTATCAGGTGTTAGGTTCTTGCCTGCTATTCAATGTCCAGTTTTTACCTTATTGTTCTTAATTTTAATTTTATTATTAGGATTGTTGGATGAGACTGCATTTCCCTCCTTTTTAGTGGTTAATGTATCTTCTGGTAATTGTTCAAATATACCTAAATCTCTGATAATTAAATTAAGATGGTCAGATTGAAACTCATTGTTCCTCGTTATTACATTACAAATTAAAATAAAACTCAACTCATTCTGTGTCTTAACATAAGCTTTTCTAACTAAACAAACTGGATAATCTTTCTCTGGTACTCCATTGGCTAGGACTAAAGCTTTTTCTATCAAATTCAGATATGCAAGCCTATAAATATTGACCATACAGAATGTTATTGATCCATTGGGTGTGATTATCACTATGATAATGCATATAGCCAATATGGTCTTTTGAAACGTATTTGTAACTAACTGAGAATTTTCACCTCTAAGCAAGGAGGTCCAGGAACTGTATTCTGACACGGAGTAAACAAAAGGCTGAATTTATTAGATTTAATTCAATATAAAATTATTAAAATAATCTTTGATGTCCTGTTCCCCACCATCCAATTAATGAAGCAGCAATAGAAGACTAGATTGTGCCTCCATGGATAATCCTACCAAATATAAAATTAAAAGTAGCCAGTGGAAAGATAAGAAGGTGCAAAGCTAGCCCCCCTTCATCGTATTTAAAAAAAAAAAAAAAACACAAACAAACTGTTCATTAAAAGAAAAATAAATACGTAAAAAAGCCAAACTGAATAAAACTAACCAGGTGGTCAGCTTGACTTGTGGGTAGTAAAGGATTGTTACATAGGTAGAATTTCATTATTTTAAAACCAAAATTCATTTTATAGGACATTAACCACCTATAGCTACTACACCAATCAAAATTCATCAATAGGATCCACAGATGGGTACAGTCCTTGACATCAGGTGGCACCTGTTGAACATTTTTGAACACTTTTGAAGATGAAAAATCAATCAACTTTGATAATGGTACTTTAACAGAATCAATGGAAGAAATGATTGGTCTACCGGGAGGATTAGTTAAATTCTTCGGAACGTTAGGGAAGTAATGCAATATCAGCATTGGATCCTGGGCACCAAATAAGAACTTATATTTATTGTTGGTCATACTATTAGATACCAAGGCTTCCCTACAAAGATTGATACTGTAATTTGGATCGAATAAGTTTAGTGAGGTCAGAGGTTAATATTTTATAAACCTATTACTCAATAGACAGCTTAATAATTGATTCAGAGTTCCTTTAGAACCCCACATTCACTTAGTTAGATTAGATATTTTATGCGTATTTGGGATGATACCAATTTATCAAAGTCTAAGAAGACATCATCATAAAACATAATTATGTATTGTTTTCTGTCCCTTACTGAATAGTATTTAGACAGGGGTTTAAAATGGCTTAGAGTACTTACAGCAGCTATTTACCACAAGAACAAGAATTTCGGGAAAAAAGCGTGCAAATGCCAAGTGCAACCTGGATAAACAAGTCATGAAAGTTACAATCCACAGCATCAAGATAGAGGATATTCCCTTAAAGAAACACTCACAACCATAACCACTACATACCTCATCCCCCCACAAAGTAGTAAAGCGGTTTAAGAATGGTTTTACAATTTATCTTGGTTCCCGAGGTATAGTTGTCACATTTTGTTTTTTCCTGCAGGAAAAGCTGGATATTTCCCTTAAAATAAGCATGGTTGATCCAGGGCCATACTGATTGACATAGTGCTCTGATAAAACATTTAAGCCAATGAGAGGGACCCTGCTTAGCTTAGTGGCGCTAAACAATTTCTCTTTTAGAATCAAGAAGCAAGGCTGCAGTTACATATGTTAATTCACTAAACAGTAATTTAGACTAAAAGAGCCGATTTGGAAAATATATCCAACTTCGTTACACTTACTGCAATTTGTACTTTGGTTTTGAATTCACTGCAATTCAGTATTTAGTGAATAAACCCCATAGTCTTTATTTAGCCAGCAAATCATGTCACTGCGGACAGAAATGTATTTAAAGGTGGCAGCTTACACGGGGAAGAAGGATACTCGGCAATGTGTGGGTTTAATATCCATTAACGAAACTCATGCCACTTCTCAACAGGGGACTTGTGGCTGCATCAGTTATACCATATTATTCCAACCTTTAAGGGACACGCCATGATGGAAGTGAGGGTAGAAAGAAATCAGAGGGAATAAAAAGGCAAACAGTGAAACCAGGAAAACTGACCGTGACCTATACATTGAAACCAACACGTGTGGGTGTGTTGACTTACACGTCAACTTATAACCCCATTTCCTGGTCCACAGTGAAACTAACCACAACCCTTAAGATGTCATACGACCCACTGAGTTTTCTTTTTCCTACACAGAGAGCCAATAAGCCCAGAACTGCATCTGATCAGTTACTGAACTCATCCTTTAGAGGAAGATAGGGCCCCACTTAGGAAGGTCGCAATAGGAAATGTGTCACGACCGTAAGGACCACCGCATCACGTCAACCATGAAACATTAAATGGATATCGTGCTTCAATCTCACAGACCAACACAGGAACCATTTAAAAAGAATGTTTGCATTCAGATTGTGTTACAGATCACATTCAGATATAAATATCTCTCACACTATATAACATATATACCACCCATGGAGGTTACACAAGAATAATAATAATAATAATAATAATAATAATAATTTTCTGTTGGGCACAAAATTAAAAGTGCTGCCCAGCAATATGAGGAATTCTTAGGCGAAAGTGGAATTTGTCAGAAACCTGAAGTGAATTTCACATTTTATACAACATCAGCAAAATAAAAAAAAATAAAAAAATAAAACCACACAAACTGTTTTTAGTTTTACTATTTTGCCTAAAATTAAAAGCCCACAAATTCACAGTTTAGTGAGTAAGCCCTGGAAATGTTAATATTTTTCAGCCAGAGTAAATAGTAATAATCACCTGTGAGATGACATTTTGAATAACTTTCCATCGGATGCTGAAGCAAGGAAGCAGATTATACATACTGGGATTTATTCACTAAACTCTGAATTAAAGGCCACACTAAAAAATAGGTACAATAACCATATCTATGCTAGATAAATATTGCAGATGATTTATTTTAAATTTTAACCTACATGAAAAATTTCTATGCTGAAAGATTTTTCCCAAAATCTGCTTTAGGCATTCATTTCAATTACTTTTATTTATTTTATTTTTTTACTGGGATCCCTAAGAAATGGATTGCCATGATGGGAGTGACCATCATTGGTCAGGAGAACGTTAATAGATACATTGTCATAGTGTAATTCTAATTTACAATAGACTTATGTAAACGCAGATAATATGATAAAAGACATGCACAGCGAGCCAAAACACAAAACAAGGAGGAATAAAGCCTTATCTTTTAACTAACTTTATTCTCACAGGATTATATCCCAGATAATTCAGAAATAAAAAAGTTTAAAAAAAATTTAACACAGAATAGGCGAAATTTTTGGAAAAATTCAACTCATTCAAAGCCCCTTTGCTTAGCCATTAACCCTTAGTTTTGCCATTCTGATTTAGGCCTCAATTTAATATTTTTGGACAAACTTTTAATATATAAAAACTTTTAAATATAAAATATTATAATCTCTATAAGAAATAAATAAATAAAAATCACTATGAAAATATTGAAATATTTGTGAAAATACTTCATTTTAAAAGTTAATTAAAAAAAAATATGAAAATTGTTGAACACAATTTTAGCAAATTAGGGCATCAAGTTAATATATATTAATAGATGGTATACTCATTTTATATATTTAACATTTTGAAAAAAATATTTTTTAAAAAGTTTTCTGAAAAATATTAAATTGATGCCCTAATTTGCTAAAATGAAGTGTTCAACAAATGAACCAGAGCTGACTTGGATATTTGTTTTCATTTTTTCCGGATTCAGCTTTTTGGCCAAAAACATGAAACTTAATTTGCATTCCTGACAAATCACACTTTAATTACTTTATTAGGCTTGCTACCTGGAGTTAATGTTGCCAACATGCTATTCTAGACAGATTTTTTTTTTTGCATACTATTTGGCAAAGCATGAATAATGCTGCCAAGTATTGTGTAGAATAAAACATGCTGTAGGACATAAATCAGTTTATTAAACCATGAAGTTGATGACATTAACAGTTCTTGGCTAAAATAGTCAGTGAAATAAAATCTTTTCCGTATTTATTATTATTTTTTTTAAATCTAAAATTTTTTACATTTCTGGTCTATTCCTGACCATTCCTAGTTTAGTGTATTAACCCTATAGGAGGCAGTTTAATTGATTTGTTAATAGAGTTCCATCCTGCATATGAATGCCACATTCAAGGGCAGCCTTTTCATGTACTGCACATCAGCATGAAAAGTTATAGGATACACAGCTGATCTGGCAACCCCCACTTCATCCACAGACTTATTGCCTGGGGAGGTTTCAGTTTGCGATGCCAGCATGTAAATTTTTATCACAGCCACAGAACAAAATCCCCTTGGAAAAAAAACAAATTCAAATTTAGGGCCAGAGTAGCCAAACTCGGAGCATAGCTTTCAATCTTTGCAGATCAGCTGCTTTGGCCTTGAATTTGAAATTCACTTTGAATTATCACTTTATTGAATAACCCTGTAAACCATGTGTGTGTGGTATAGTATAACCATCTAGAGACTCACCATTCTGACACTATCCCAAGCCTTGGATATTCCAAAACGTGCTGGTCCTCACAGGTTATCGATTCACCCAAAATCCAACTGCCAAAGCAAACGTGAGCCTTTAATCAGAAACCTTGCTCGGGTTTCGGTTGTTCTAACATGTCAGCCTCTTTTACTGTGACAACACTTCTATTTTAGAAAAGCAAAGCAGCAGGGAAAGTTGTCAAACAGGAATCCCAGGTCTGGTCCAGGCCCTGCCCCTGACACTTCTATCACAGAGCACCTTCCTCCCTGACTCACCTGGGCACGTGAAATTCTGCATAGCGAGGAGTTTACGGTCAACATGAACTGCTCTTTAGTGAAATATGCTAATTAGCATGCAGATTGTTCTCGTAGCATTGTTCTCTACAGAATATTGTCCCAGGAAGAGGAAGAGAATATTCCAACAAACATTCCTAGTGCCTTTAATGGATTGCATATAGCCAGCCACCTCTTATGACCTTTGCTAAAGCAGTGAATTAACTTTACTACTCACTGAGCCTATAAACAGCAGTACTGCCCTGGGTATTCTCATTAGCCATGAAATTAAAATACTTTGTTAGAGACAGGTGATTCCATTTTTATTTCTTGCCGGCCTTAATTTATCTGTACATTTTCACGGTTATTTACTAAACTCTGAAAGGTAACCAAATGCGCGCATCAAAAAAACTAAGCAAAAAAACATCCAGTTTAGTAAAATTATCCAATTCCTCTGTAATCACAGCTCAGCTATTTTAATCTTGATTTCCCCATTCAGACTTTTATTGGCTACAATTCAGGGTTTAGTAAATAAGGTTTTTTTTCGCTTAGATTCCAGGACTTACTTTTACACAGACAGACTTTAGTGTGAATGCTGATGTTGTGACTCCCAAAAAGCTCAGCCAGCCCTATACAAGCACAAACTGCAATGTCTTTGGGGGGTTTCACTTGAACACCAAACTGTAGTGAACTAATAACCAAATTTAGTGATTTGAAGTGATCAAGGTGCAGTGCCCCTGTCCCCTGAACCCAGAAAGGGTAATTATTGCAGTTGACTCCTCCTCTGGTGGCTGTCTACCAGACAGTCACTAGAGGAACTTCTGGGTCGTTAGGCAACATTTGGTTGCCTAACTGTTGCTGGAAGTCTCACGCTCTGCATGAGGACATCTAGCATTAGCCAAAGCCCTATAAGAAAACATTGATTTGGTACTTTCCTATGGAGTTGTCCTAATGCGAGTGTGGAGCTCGCCACACATGCACAATAGGTTCCCGATATCAGCTGATATTGGGGGAGGAAGAGTGGAGATGGAGCCAGAGGGACATCATGGCTAGATTCAGGTAAGGGAATTAAGGGTTTATAACCCTTTCTGCATTGCCGGGGGGAGCGAGCGAGGAGGGCATTATAGTATATTATAGTACTAAGAATTCAATTTCCCATTAACCCTTTATCCGCCCTATGCAGCAACGTTGAGTCGTTAACAGCCAATTAGTTCTGGGCTGGCTAATGTTAATTTTGTGAAAATTTTGATGCACAGACACTCATTCATTGGCTGAGAGTGGTCAAGTATTGACATCTGGCTTCTGCAGCTCTGATGTAATAAGTCATGCTTTAGAGAAGACACAGTAGAACCAAGTATGAGGGCAAATTATATAAAACTGTTTGCCCGATTCCAGAGAATGGCACAAGAGAACTCCCACCATCATAACTGCTACAGTGGACTGCAGTGGTATTGATGGTTGGAGCAACCCTTTAAACAAATATAGCTGATTTGAAAATGTTCAATTTGATTTTCACGTGCTATAATTTGTGAAGCTCTATAAATCTGTTCTTCATTTGCATTTTGTAATACGTGGTGGTTGGGTGGATATTTTTTTTATTTTTTGAACTGACAGTGGGAATTCCAAACTGTAGGCCATAATATCAGTACTGTGAGAATAATTTTGGGGGCAGTTAAAGGGGTAGTCTAAGCATCATTGCTACCGCTCATAGTAGTTGTTATGGTGCAGTCCTTGGGTATCATCCCAAAAGTTTGTGTTGAAACCATTTTGATCTCTTAAATGATTTTCTCCATGCTGCACACTTCTTTGAGGGTCCTTTTGATTTGGTGATTACTGTTTGAACTTAAAAAGACAAGACAAAAGGAGTATGGGGCAATGAAAGGGCATGTCAGTTGGACAGTTTGGCAATTCGTAAAGAGGGCATGGCATAATTGCACTCCGCAGATGTTACAGCATGATCCAGAGCCTTTTAAACTGCTGATTAGGGCCTTGATTTAATATTTTTTCAATAAACTTTTCAAATGATTTAATGTGTTGAAAAATCGTTTAATATTTAATAAATTTGGGTACATTGATATATTTTATTTATGATATATTTTATTTATGATATATATTTTTATATATGATATATTTTTTATATTTTAATATTTAAAATTAAAGTAAAAGTTTAACTTAAAATGTTAAATAATTTGGAAAGCTTGTCCAAAAATACTAAATTGAGACCTAAGGGTGATCATGCTCAAAGCTCTGCTGAAGAGCTCTGGACTGTACAAAAAAATCATCTTGAATATCTTAATGCCGAACTTTATTGGGTTCACCAGAAAAAAAAGCTGTAAATGGACCTTCCCACCAATTCTGTCAGGTACGGAAATGACAAAAAATAAAAATTATCTGAAAGAAAATATTTTAATTTTCAGATAACAATAAATACAAACGTTATTATACTTCAGTATTTCCCTTCAATTCTCAGAGTACAGAGAAAGATTCTCAGCGTAACACTGACCAGAACTGTCCATTATTTTGACGACTCTACCATTCTACGACAAATAGGCAAATGAGCAGTACCAGCTTAAACAAAGATTGCTTTAACCTTTTTTTCCCTTGATAAATACCTTGAAACCATTTAGCTAAAAAACAAGTGATGACTAAACAAAATGCTGCATTGCCAGTGCACACGATGACTTTGTGCTCTTAAAGAGAAACTATTACAATAAATTCTTTGCTCGAACGTTAAAGGATCAGCAAAGATTATTATTTTTAACATGCAGCTAACATTGTGTTTACACCCAAATTCATGAGTCAAATGTAACATTGCGATAAAGATTTATCTCATGCATCATTGATGTGCCGGGTCTCACACCAAACTGAACCGCTGATGTTTGTGAATAACCTTGGCTGTGAATAGGTGAGAGAAGGGAATTAAGGAGGGCTAAATTGGAGAGTGAAAGTGGAAGGAATTAATGAAAAACATGAAGGGTACAAGGATACTAAAAAAGCCAATAGAGACAGGAGTCTGAAAAGGAGGCTGTGGAGTGCCCAGGAATTTAACCCCTTAAGGACCAAACTTCTGGAATAAAAGGGAATCATGACATGTTACACATGTCATGTGTCCTTAAGGGGTTAAAATTAAGACATAATAAGAATGTCACATGTTAGGATTTTTAATGTTCTGTTTACGTGTTCCCTTCAGGGCCGGACTGGGATGAAAATTCGGCCTCGGCAGTTAAAGGCAGACCAGCTCAGTAGGACGGAGCAAGAGCAAAAAAGGGGCATGTTATGCTATCACCAGCGATGAGCACACACCCCTAAAAATAAGTATGTTTATTTAATGCCCATCTAGGGTATCCCATACACAGAGATCCCTGCTAAAGTGCTCTCAGAAGGGGAAAATGCCTTTCTTATGTGTCTACTCTGCGCAAGCGAATTTAATGACACGTGCTGCGTGTTCTGCGTGTTTTATGTGTTGTGTTTCGCTAGTTGTCTAGTGGACTGGTTATTTGGTCTGCACCTCTGCAGAATACAGACCATGTCTATCGCGTCACCTCCTTATTTGCATTGTGAGCCCTGCCTGTGCCTAAACTGACCTGGATGGTGATGTTCTCTACTGATAAATCTTTTAAAAGAAATTTTAAAAGAAAACTGGACATCACACGGAAAAAAAAAGTTAGAGGTAATATTTTCTTCAATGATGTAAAAAAAAATATATAATATAATGTTTTCGTCAATGATGTAAAAAAGTATGAATATTTATGATTACACAAAGAATTTGGCTGGGGAAGGGGACACTCGAAAACCGCTCACACATCAAAAATACCTTTAAAGTGTGAAATCACCATCTGTTGCTTCAAAATTATCACATTTCATGAAAAAGATAATTTAAAAAAAAAAAAACTGCTTTGAATGAGAATCATCATCATGAAATGTATTCACTAAACAGGGAACTGTATCCAACCGAAACCACGCTGCAAAATTTAGCCAAAAAATAACTAAGCAAAAGTTGTGGTTAGGCTTAAGAAGTTTTTTTTAATAATTTATTTTAGACTAAATGTTGCAATCTATGATTTGCTGTTTTGTGAATAAAGTCTTGTGGATATTTAGAATTGCTATATTTTAAACTCATAAGAATGTGTTGTAAATGTATTCTGTCGTAATAACATAATAAAATAATCTACCAGATATTCATTTTAATCTAAAGGTTTAAAGTTTAGATCTCAATTTACCACGGTCCCAGTTTGATAAATGAATCACAAAATGTTAGAAGATCCTTTCAAATCATAAATGTAATCATTTTGAACATTTCGCCAGTTGTTTGTCATGCAAGTGATAACGCTTGTGTTGTGCTGAAGTAATATCATGTTTCTTTTTGTGATGTTTTATGGTGTAATAAATTACACCAATATAAAATATGTAAATGCACAGCAATAAGGAAACCTTCTCGGGGTTAATCATTAAGGTTTAATGAAAAAGTCAAATTGGTGAAATATAAAAAGTCAGCAATATTTTAAAAAAAATGCATCTGTTAGTGGGAAACATTTTTTTAAAACTTACTTTTAATTCCCAACAATTCACACTCGACAAGGTTATCCAGTAAACTCAGAACTGTAGCAAAATGAAATGCTAATGGCAAAATTTATGATAAAATGGAAAAATTCTTCGACGAAGCTGAAGTCACAGTTTTTGTTATTACAGTTTAGCTGGACACAATTTTGCCATTTGTATATAAATTTGCTACAATTCATATTTTAGTGAAAAACCTTGTCTGTTTTATAGGTGTCTGCTTTATAATTGTCATTTTGGAGTAACTCAAAGTTCTCCCAGAATCCTAATGCCAGTCACTCTTAGCCAACAGAAAATGCAAAATGTCAGAGAAAAAGGAACTCCATGAAATATAAGTATAATAACCATAAACGGTGGCAAAATGTCAAA